TAGAAGTGTAAATAATTGTGGAAGCTGTGGAATAAAAGTAATTGAATAAACTGACAGCATGTACAAACGAGCCGACTGGCGTTAGTGTTATCAACCCTAGATGTTAAAGCCGTTGTAAACCAAGACTCATTCCAATATAAATCTATGTTTGTGTGTTTGTTTCTTACCTATAGACTCGGAAACTACTAAACCGATTGAGCTGAAATTTTCAGGATATGTTTGTTTTGATACCGGGATTCTACCAGTTATGGTTTGAAATAGGTGGCGAAATTTGTTATTAAAATATTTTTATTTTAGTGACATTTAATTAAAGTTACGTTCGTAAATGCGCATGCGCAGTAGTCGGAACGCACGACTTCCACCATTCGCCGGCGTGGTACAGCAAACCAGACTATTTCTATATATGTGCAGGCAATGATTGCGACATTAACCACATTAGACGCGATTTCAATTTTCTTTTATTTTAAACAACATTTGATGAGTTAGAGAGTAGTTGTTGGATTTGAGAGGGAAAAGTGATAGCGTTTTTCTGTCAGAGAGCGAAATTATACATCCTATCCTGGCCAGTCCGTGGCGACAGCACTAGCCATGCGGCGCCAAATTATCTGGCTCACGACTCCCTGTCTACTCCGATGGTAAAACAGATAACAGTGACATTATTTTAGTTACTGTGGTGGTGGTGGTAGTAGTTGTACTGGTACTTGAAGGATGGTGTGGTAAATATTACACTAGCCGCATTTATTACTCATTAAAATTCCTGCTCCCCATTTTAGTCCGGATGGAAAGAGATATCAAGGTCAGTAAAAAAAAAATCGTCAAGTGATGACTTTCAAATCCTTCGAAGAAAGAGAGAGCAGTAGTCGGTGGATGGGGGAGGGGAGGGGGTGACAGAAATTGTTAACTTGGAGAGCTTAACACGTGATTGTAAAGTTGCCATTCCTTAATTTGTTTTATTTTACTAAAGCTACCTCAGCTATTATCATTGTGTGTGTGATTTGAAAGTACAGTAGTGAGCTTTACTTCCGGCTCTTAAAAAAATACAAACAGCTTTAGCATGTGATAACCAAATAACCATAATTAGAAGTCCTAATAATACAATTTAAACGACTACTATAATGACACAATTATATGTTGCATGTTCTTGAGTCAGCAAACCAGATTATCTCTGCATCTGCGCAGGCAATGATTGCGACATTAACCATTTTAGACACGTGTAATTTATATTTTCTTTTTCTTTCTTGATGAGTTAGAGAGTAATCGGGTGATTTGAAGGAGGGGGGGGGGGGCGGCATCGAAGGCTATCTCTATATCTGCGCAGACAATGATTGCGACATTAACCATCTGAGACACGTGCGATTTCAATTTTCTTTCTTTTCTATTTAGCCAAAATATGCCACAGCAACGCGTGGCCGGGCACAGCTAGTTTTTTTAATAAAGATATCCTTGTCTCCCAGGTCGACCCAGCACTCAATGGGTACTAGAAGTAAGACCTGGGAAGTAAAGGCGGCTGGTGTGATTCTGACCTCGTCATTCACTAAAGTTTTTTGGTCTATAAAATATAGGTCTAGCTCTATTCCCAATACTCTAGAAGGCTTGGAATAGGGTGATGTTTTTTCATAGTATATAGTTAAAGTCGAAATGATCGACTTCATTGCGTTGGGGTATCCAATCTAGCCAAGCCACCCTAAGCAGAGCTGTCATTAGTTTGCACGGAACGCCACAGTAAGCCACGATCAGTTGGGATCTCCGTAAAAATTGCACTCATGAACTTAACGACTGATCTGTGAGACAAACCCACCCCTGTCAGGGCGGGAGGCAAACGGCGTGACCCTTTCGCGACAGAAGGACATTCTGTTCTGCACAAGCATCATCTATAGAATGTTTGTAGTCTATCGTAGTTGTTAACTTTACTCTCTATGTTTCAGCTCCATGCAACAGTACTAAATTAACAATAATATTGTTTCTAAAGAAGATAAGAGTAAGAAGAAACTCCACAGCGGAGCATGTACAGCAGGGATCTACCAATCGTCAGTATAAGTGATCTCTCGTCGACAAACGTTTCGGCCCACGAGCTCCTAGACGTTTTCAGAGAGTGGGCCCACCTGAGTTCATGAAGCTTGGGGTTGGTTTCCCTGCTGCACGAAATTACCGGATGGTGTTCGGATAGGGACAAGACGAATTGGTGATTTGCAGAAGGTACTGTGAGATAAGAAGTCGTCGCGGTAGCATAATTAGAGCAGTCTGCATATCTGGACGACCGAGCGACAAGCTTACGATTGGTATACCGGACACATGTTGGACTTTTGTTAGCAGGTGGCAGAGGAACACTGGCAGACAATTCGGACACGATGGACTTTCAAGGGATGAGAAATTCTTTTCCGCTAGACAACCGGACCAGCTCACCGAGGCCCGTCCCCTACGTTGTTTCTTTGCGTCCAGAGCCAGCTCGAGGCCCTCTCAGCAACCTCGCCCACCTGTTTAAGTGTCCATTTGCGTTCAATACCGCGCAATCCGAGTTCTTTAACCACATGTAGAGCGAAGTGGAAACGAGGTCTCTCGCTCCCACTTCGACGGCAAAGACCCGTACTGTGTACGCCTCGTCTCTTCTCAGGCCGGCTGCTAAATCACTTATACATGTGATTTTCGTCCATTCTCACACGGGACGGTCGGCTCAATCATTATGAGCTGCCGTTTCTCCGCAGAGTGGAGAACTGTGTCAGGTCGCAGGCCGGTCTTCCGAATTAACTCAGGGTACCTTTCATGGCCCGGCAGATCAATCGCCAGTAACCAGTCCCTCGCAGAGTCTACCATAGCTGGAGCGAATGCGCCTTTGTTGACCTTACCTTTTTGAATTTGCCCAGCCTTGAGGAAGCGTATGGGGACGACGGTAGGACTGGCTCTAGCGTTAGCCCACATCCTAGCCTGGTCCACAACAGCTGCCAACTCTTTTAGCACCTTGTTGTGGCGCCAGGTGTATCGGCCTTGACCTAGGGCTTTCCTGCATGCGGACAGAACGTGTTCTAACGTTTGCTTCGCTTTGCACAGCGGGCAAGTCGGATCGCTAGTCGCAGACCCCTTCACCATGTTAACACCGGACGGTAATACATCGTACGCCGAACGAACGATAAAGCTCAGTCGCAGCGGGGTCATTCGCCAGATGTCACCCCATGTGAGTACTCTTGGCAATGCTCTCTCCAGGCTGACCAAATGGCCCTGCTGCGACTGTTGGGCTGCTTTCTGGAAACGAACCTCGTTTTCTTTGTCCCTAACTTGTTGTATTACCATGTCTCAGCGTTCTTTGGCTGTGGTTTTGGACCACCAATTAACCTTCCCGTGACCTAGGCCTCGACGGTCGGTTTGAGTGTATCCCATAATCTCCCTCAATTTTAGTGCATTCTGGGCAGATTCGATCGCATCGAGGACTCTCCATTTCTGACCAGTCTTTAGAGCGGACTGGACAGCGATGACATTTGGGTCTGAAGACTCGCGCAAGAGCATGGCGAGTCTTACTTTACGGACTTTAAACTCTTCGGTTATCGATTTGAATGGGAGTACCAGCTTAGCCTGCTTACAATACAGAGCCACGTCAGTCAGACAAGGCGGTGCACTAATCCACTTTCTTAAGGCTGTGATGATTTTTTTTCTCCATCGTCTCCACTGCTGTCATGGTCACTTCGTAGACTAACAGCGGCCAGAGGAGCTTTGGAATCAACATGAATTGGAGACACCAGACCTTGAACTTCCCGATCAGCCTGCTACGCTCGATCGCGAGCAGGCCTGTAGCCAGTGACTCGTGTATTCGCCGGACCTCCGCTCTCTCAGATAACTTCGAATCGTAAACGCGACCAAGGCTCTTCACCGGTTCCTCCAGAACTGTGGGGATCTTATTCCTTGCCACCGTAAAGTAAAGTAAAGTAAATGTCCTTTTCCACGTCTTTAGGCGTATTGGGAATACAGGGCTAGACCTATAGTTTTATAGACCAATCGGCACTTGGTGGGTGATGTTGACCAGGACTGAACCTGGTGTATCGGGGCCGGGCAACATGTACCTCAAGTTCTAATACCCTGTTAGGTGATGGATACTTTTCTATCGAAGGCAAAAATAAAAAGTCTTACCTGTACAGGTAGTGGCACAGTACAATGCGGCCCTACTAAATCTGCAATCTCAAGACCTCATTCCCACCCGACTTAATACTAGTCTAAAAAGTGGTAAACGTGGACAAATAAGGCGATTTTACCACATGTCCAGAAACTGAGAACCGCTCTTTTAGTTAAACACTATCCCCTTCACTCTCTCATCGAGGTTCTCTTGAACGTGTTGCCGATAAGACTCATTTTTTTTTTTTAATTCCTGTATTTTTTAACAATGATTCCCAGGACAATATGCGTTTGCGAACTGTACGCAACCCCCTATATTTGTAAAAAAAAATTAATTGTTAACAGGGGACTTCTTTTTTTTTTTACCTGAACCGAGAAACCACCTCCCCCCTTCTTCTCCCCCCACCCCCACATTTTTTAACCTTTCCTAAAGGGTACCCTATTTCCACAACGTGAGAACCATTCTATAAAATAAAAACTGGAGCATCTCCATGCCCCGGAAGTTAATATCAGAGTTCATGAAAACACAACAAGTGCGAATGGGGCTGTGAATACAAGTTGTCAAGTGCACCTTGGAACACATCTTTCCCACAAACAACGCTGCATTTCATATGAAAACTTGACCGCAACTCGGTGGATTTATTTATCTGGAAGTTCTACAAGCGGGACGTGGAAGATGAGCGGCGACTGTGAGTTTTCTGTGGTCGAGAATGTGAAAAAGTTAACGGATCAATGATGTCTGCCTGCAGGCGAGCGGCCTGTACTTTGTAGTTTACTCCGTCATTTAGTACTCACGCACAGATAAACCAGACCAAGGTTCTTAACCCACCCAGCAGAGGAAGATGCAGGTAATGTGGTATCTAGTTTTCTTATCTGGTGTTTTTTCTATCCTGGTTCCAGCGATGGGCGACCACAGATTAAATACTGGTATTACCTTCAACAATGATAATGCCCGCTTGGAGAACTGCAGCGTTTCAAGCTTCTGTAATCACACGAATTATGCAGATCGGCATTCTCCCAAAGGGCATGGACATCACGGAGGAGGTCTCCATGTTGCAGCTCTTGCTTACGAGGAGGTTCGGGATCCACTGATCTTTACCATTGTCGTACTTTTGACAGGAATTAGCAAGATAGGTAAGGTGGTATGAGTTTTCTCTCTTTGGTTTCATTTTTTTCCCTCTCTGGTTGCATGTTTTCCCTCTTTAGTTGCATGTTTTCTCTCTTTGAGTTTTAACTCTTTTAAAAGAAAATCTATCATGCATAGAAATATATATTTATGTATTGATCTACACTCATAGAATTAGAGGAAAGGAATATAGATTAGAGGAGTTACTAGATCATGTAATACTAATAGTTGAAAGCTGTAGAGATTACAGCCAAGTTTGAACCTGCTGCCTCCAGATGATGCTCTCTGGCAGTCAACACAGGACGTAAAGGAAATTAAGACTTTAGACCAGACCTGCCACCACAAAAAAAATATGTGGTGGGGGAGGGGTAAAGAAGGGGGCAGGGGAGGGTTGAAGAAGGGGGCGGGACCCCCCACCCAACTTACAAATTTGTCAGGCAGAAAATTGAAACCCAACCCCCTCCCCAAAATTAAAAAAATAATATAGGCAAAAAATTGTGGAATGGGGGGAAAAAAAGGGGGGGGGGGGGGGGGGGTTCTCAAAAGACTTGAGCTTCTAGAATCTGGCACCTATGCCTCAGACCCTGATATTTTGCATATGCATAGTGTTTTCTGCTTTAGGATATAGAGGCAAATAAGATGTTGACTTGTTTAAGAGCCTTTGCTACATTAAGAGATGGAAGATAGAGGACAAAGGCTTTATTATATAATCAGAACACTTCCCAAATGGCTAAAACGCTTTCTTATATTTCCATAATTCTTCTTTACATAAATTGAACACTTACAGCTGTCTACTTTTCTTTCATTACTTTACTGTTCTTGTTGTTACTTTAACTTTTATATTTCCATAATTCTTCTTTACATAAAGAAACACTTACAGCTGTCTACTTTTCTTTCATTACTTGACTGTTCTTGTTGTTACTTTAACTCTTATATTTCCATAATTCTTCTTTACATAAATGAAACACTTACAGCTGTCTACTTTTCTTTCATTACTTTACTGTTCTTGTTGTTACTTAAACTTTTATATTTCCATAATTCTTCTTTACATAAATGAAACACTTACAGCTGTGTACTTTTCTTTCATTACTTTACTGTTCTTGTTGTTTACTTAAACTCTTATATTTCCATAATTCTTCTTTACATAAATGAAACACTTACAGCTGTCTACTTTTCTTTCATTACTTTACTGTTCTTGTTGTTACTTAAACACTTATATTTCCATAATTCTTCTTTACATAAAGAAAAACTTAAACAGTCTACCTTTTTTTTCATTACTTTACTGTTCTTGATGTTATTCAAACTCTTATATTTCCATAATTCTTGTTTGCATAAATTAAACACTTACAGCTGTTTACCTTTTTTTCATTACTTTACTGTTCTTGTTGTTACTTAAACTCTTATATTTCCATAATTCTTCTTTTCATAAAGAAACACTTACAGCAGTCTAAGTTTCATTCATTGCTTTACTCTTCTTGTTGTTACTTTAACTCTTATATTTTTAGACACTTCTTACTTAACTCCTTGGAGACGATGTGGCTGAAATATTGGCCCAACACAAAATATCCAAATCGGTCGGCCCTATGTAATACAAGCTTTGAGATTGGCTGGCAGGATTTCATTTTCATCCCATCCAATCAGATTGCTTCTCGCATTTCTTGTACATGTGGGCTGTTCATTGACGGCTTTAGAGAAAGCTTTCAGTAATTTTACATCAATTTGTTTTTCTGGGGTTACCTGTGCCCAACTGTGACGAAAAGGACTGTTGCATAATAGCAACCCAAACATAGCTGGAGGCAGGAAATAAGTAGAACCATGTGTCAGAATTGTTTGAAGGGCCTCAAAGGGCCTTACTTCCCAAAACACAAGTGTTAAGACTTATTCAAGCTTCATCTATCAAAATATTCACTGAAATTGTTTAGGTTAATCATGTTTGTTCCCAAGTTAAAAAAAAAATGCTTGCATAAATTATGCAAATCAGAATAGTTAATTTGAATAATTGTGATTTCAGTTTGATTCATAAATACTGTGTTAGCTCATTCAGTTTCACATATCATCTTTTTGGCACTGAAACTCCAAAAAGGCTCCATCTCCAGAGGGTTAACTCTTGCAAGTCAGATAATTATTTAGAAAGTATGGAGTGCTGTGGACTGGTTTAGATGAATGGTGTCAGGTTTAAACTCAAGCTAACTTGGTGTGAAATCTTACACCCCATTCACTCTTTGTTGTGTGCTAAATGCATTACCACTAGTCAGCACACTACCAGGTGTCTAGCAGGTACCCTTCAGCTTCCTCTCTTAGAAATAGAACTCGACGATGACACAGTCATACATTTTATTTAACAGGATACAGGATACAAATGCAGTTGACATTCGCACATCGTCCATTTGTCGTCACTCGCTCTCTCTCTCTCTCTCTATTTGTAGCGACCTCTCCTTGACTACTACAGCTCCAAGGACTACAGCGTCTTACATTCTGGATGCGCCATACAGCTGAACAGGACGACTTCTCACATTCACTGGACCACCTTGATATTATTTCAGCATATAACACGGCTGACTGGAGACTTCCCTTGCCGTACTCCGAAAACACACAGCTGTCGTCAGCTTGTCGCAGGGCTCCGATGACCGACAGGACTTCTACCATAAGTCCCCTCTAGCACACAGCTCTTGTCGGTACCACTCCCCCCTGTTCTGTTTCAGTAGTGGTCCTCCTACGTTTCACTACAACGCCACTCAGAACAGGTACTACTGGAGCCTTCCGTCCCCTGGACTTACTTTGCCAGCGGGACCATATCTTCGTTCAGTACCGCAATCTCAACACTCACTCAGACCTAAATGCCTTATAGTTGTACGGTTTTCTTGTCTGTTAGACTCGCGAGAGATATCACGGACCCTGACTTGGTCTCGGACTCTCGCTTTCTCTCTCTCTCTCTCCGTGTAGGTGAATGATGTCTACACGAGAGGCACGCTCGTATGGCCGTTCTCGTGAATCATGATCCTGTGGGTGTTCTCGAGACTCACGCTCATATGGGCGTTCTCGAGGATCACACTTGTGCGGGTGGCTGATGTTACCTGAGAATCAGGCTGTCACTTAATTCACACTTTCTCTGTTTATCTCGTTAGCCATGCTTTCAGCCCCCCACACAGTAACCCACGCGTCTACTTTCTCTCGTGCGTGCACGCCTTGTTCATGAATAGACATTCTCACTGGTCTCCTCTTAATACTCGAACCATGTTGACACTATTCCCCTCGTGAACTTACAGAAAGTACTGGCATACCACTGTCCACACACACACTATCACACTTTACCTAAATCAGCGCGCAACACTCTTCCAGGCAGTATATGTATGTGTAAAAAGTAGCTATCTTATGACAGCGGCACATTAGGTATATGATAGTAAGACTAATATTTTGTATAGACCATTTGTAAATCTGTGGTTGATGTATGGTCAACATTACATAGCCACCTTACTTCCCAGGTCATTCTATATCCTCTTTATGTTGCTGATGACACATAAGACATTCACAAGGGATCTCCATTGTTGCCGGTCTGCTGCTTTTCTGCCCATGGTCCCCCATGTCAGTTTACATTCCTTCATTTCCTGTTCTATTGTCCTTCTCCAGGTCCTTCCCTGGTACACATTTTAGGCTGACTTGAACCTGTGAGTTAGCCACAGTGGGCGTGAAAACACATTAAACAGGGTAATTTGGCTTACAGATGGACCATAATGATAAACAGATTGACCTGAATTGAAATGCACTTATATATGCAGAGGAGAGAATTAGAAGCAGGACACACTCATTATTAGCATTAGGTGCACTGTCATTAAGCATATGTGGTCCTGTTTGGCAGTCGCTCATGATCACGATAATCACAGATCAAAACAGTGCTCTTGTCTTGCTCTGTCGGTTTGGCCAAGCCATCCACCAGGTATTTATCTCTTTGCCTTCCACTTTTCCCTTTTCCATTACTCTTGCCAGTTGTCACCAAGTTCTGGAGTAAAATTTGTTTGTGTCTAATATCTCAAGACATTTTATTTGTACCAGTTGTGGAGGACTAACTTGTTTGCTTTTCTGTCATTTCATAATGTTCTATCCATTCTTTAGGTTTTTTCCAGCTTGTTTGCTTATTATCCATGTGTCCCATACATATCACAACACAGGTTCGGTATAGCACTTTACCAATCTTTTTGTCACTGCAGTTGACATGAGGGTCATCATCATTATCATCATCATCATCATCATCATCATCAAGTGCCTTGCCAGCTGGCGTAGGCATTAATGCGTCTCCACAGGTCTCGGACTTTGGTGTTCTGGATCTATTCCATTGATGATATTCCTCCATGCCTTTGTCTTAAGCCATCCACCATCATTTCTCTTGGTCTGCCTCTGTCTCTTCTACCAGTGATCTTTCCAGTCATCCCGATATTTTCCAGTACTCCTTTTATCATCACATGACCAGAGAACATTGTCTCTTTCTACTTGAGTGTACAGTAAGAATAACAATTGAATTCTATAATGGGCATACCAACTTAATTCTTCCAAATGATGTCAGAGAGCTTAACTGCAAAAGCAGATGTAATTTTAGGCATGACCAACTTGATACCTGTAATGGCAGAAACGTTCTGCAAAAGACCTCTTATATGATAGTGTGGATGGTAGTTAAGCAGTGATTTTATTTTGAGACATAGCGATGCATTCTAAGGCAAATGCTTGCACATGTAACTAGAGCATGGCACCTGATGTGTGACCTTTTATCGCCAGCGAGATAAAGGTCAAAACATCATTAACTGGAAGAGAGACTCTTGATGATCAGTTTGTTTTGTTGCTTCTGAGCTCACATTTGAGTTTTGTGTTATTTGAACTTCTTTTTGATTCCAGTTGCGACAAGGGAAGAAAGGTTAGGAGGCAGAAGGGGAAAAAAAGTTAGGGGGTGTTTGTTTGCATGTTATTTCTGTTTCTCTTGCATCTAGTAAGTAAAAGACCTTTTTCCAATGCTTCTGACATATAGGGCTAGACCTATATTTTAAAGACTAGTCACCACTCAGTGGGTGATATGGCCAACATCATGCAGGCCATCTTAACTTGCCATGATTTTACTTATTACCCATTTAAGGCTGGGTCAACTTGGGAATCAAGGTCATTTTTGGAAGAAAAAAATGTTGTTGTTGAGTGTTATTTTGTTTTTGTACCTCTTTCTGTGCTGTTTTCTTTTTAAACAGCTTTGGTTATAATTTGTGTGTACATCGCTCATCACTAGATGACTGAACCTGATCCTGAAAATCCAAGTTTGGCTCTTCCTCATAATAACTGAGCAGTGATGGTCAGCTTCCTGCACAGTTGCTAAACTGGCTGCTACCAGAACACCTTAATTAGCCTCACACATGTCCTGGTATATGATCGGCACTGTGTTGCTGCCAGAACACCTGAATTAGCCTCACACATGTCCTGGTATATGATCTGCACTTTTGTTGCTGCCAGAACACCTGAATTAGCCTCACACATGTCCTGGTATATGATCTGCACTGTGTTTGCTGCCAGAACACCTTAATTAGCCTCACACATGTCCTGGTATATGATTGGCACTGTGTTGGCTGCCAGAACACCTTAATTAGCCTCACACATGTCCTGGTATATGATTGGCACTGTGTTGGCTGCCAGAACACCTTAATTAGCCTCACACATGTCCTGGTATATGATTGGCACTGTGTTGGCTGCCAGAACACCTTAATTAGCCTCACACATGTCCTGGTATATGATCTGCACTGTGTTTGCTGCCAGAACACCTTAATTAGCCTCACACATGTCCTGGTATATGATCTGCACTGTGTTGGCTGCCAGAAACACAGAACACCTTGGTATATTTGGCCTCCAGAACACCTGTCACACATGTCCTGGTATATGATCTGCACTGTGTTTGGCTGCCAGAACACTTTAATTAGCCTCACACAGTCCTGGTATAATCTGCACTGTGTTGGCTGCCCTAGAACACTTTAATTAGCCTCACACATGTCCTGGTATATGATCTGCACTGTGTTTGCTGCCAGAACACCTTAATTAGCCTCACACATGTCTTGGTATATGATCTGCACTGTGTTTGCTGCCAGAACACCTTAATTAGCCTCACACATGTCTTGGTATATGATCTGCACTGTGTTGGCTGCCAGAACACTTTAATTAGCCTCACACATGTCCTGGTATATGATCTGCACTGTGTTTGCTGCCAGAACACCTTAATTAGCCTCACACATGTCCTGGTATATGATCTGCACTGTGTTTGCTGCCAGAACACCTTAATTAGCCTCACACTTGTCCTGGTATATGATCTGCACTTTGTTGCTGCATCGTGGAGACACCTGGATGTGCGCACATATACACATGCTTGCACATATCTGCATGCACATGTGCACACATGCATATGTATTCCAATCATCATTTAGTGTTTGTTTTCCTTGCCTTTAGTTTTCTCATATTGTCTTTTTTCAGGATATCATCATGCCAATATCCTGTCCAGCAGGGTACCAGAGTCATGGTATGAGGTTATATGTTTGTTTTGTCTTCAAGTATACCCTTGTGTTTGTAGATCGTGTTTGTTCGAGTGTTTAGTGTATTTTTAAAAATATTTTATTTCCCCTTTTGAATATTAAAATCTTCTTTTTCTTCACATTCACCAGCTGTAAATTCTGGCGGAAAGTTCTGGTTCTTTATCTACTTTTAGACTGCAGTCCTGTTCCAGAACCTGAGTGTTGAGTGTGCATCCGTTTTACAGATATGACTCATTTGTATGCAGACTGCTGGTTCTTTGCTGCTCAGGCAGATGCACTCAATTAGTCAACTCTTACAACATTCTTTTGGGTAGGCAGTGGGTCAATTCTTGTTTTCCCTGTAACAGGGCCCCAAAACTCACACGGTGAATACTAAAATCACACTTATTTTCATGTAAATGTTACAGAAGAGTACTAAAACGCGTGAATGTGCATTTGCATTTTAATAAAATGGAAGAATACTGTAAAGTGCCTTTGAATATGTAAGTTAGTTGCGTATCCTTTACAGGACGTTGCAGAACCAACCCTAACAGCCCCTGGCTGTTGTGTGGTTTCTCTATGCAATTTACATCCAGTAGTTTGCCATTGCTTTCTGGACGGCCGGCTTTCTTGATACCACTGTCGAAACCAACGCAAAGCGCATTGCCCGCAGCTGGGATCGAACCTGGCATCCCGGCATTACGAAACGAAGCGTTCGCATCGACTTAGCCACAGAGCCGACGCCTTTGAAAAACAGATGCTGCAAAAGAGTATTGAAAAACTGTAGATGCGCATTTGCATTTTAATTCCTATAAATGAGTACTGAAATTGCATATGTCCTTGTGACTATAAATTCTGCAGAGTTAAGTTGATTCAAGAACCGACACTACAGCACTCGGGGCATTTCCATAAGCTCTTCTACCCCATCTTCAGCAGCCAGCGCAGAGTTCCAATACTAATAGTGCCAGTAGCATTCTGATTAAACCCTTGTCTTTCCTCTGAGCGTCGAACCCCTCGCATTTGGCCAGCATTCTTTCTTCCTTCTCTTGTCGCGTTCACTCAGCTGTACACTCTGGCGTAAAGTTCTGGTTGTTCGTCCACTTCTGGACTGCAGTCCTGCTCCAGAAACTGTGGTGTGCTGTACAGATTTTCAATGCTGCTGGTTCTGAATGCACTCCGACTTCACAGTTAGTCGACACCTATACGACAATGCCACATTCTGCCCTACTAAACCCACACGGGGGCATTAATCTCACCAGTTGTGCCCTTAATTGTGCACCCACATGGCCCTAACCATGTTTGCCTTATACAACTCTGCAGAAGAATACTGAAAAGTATGTATGTGCATGTATTAGAGGGTCTCCTAACGGCAGTCATTTTTTTTTCTACAATAAGAAAATCCATTTCCTCCGTAATAAGGGTTATAATTAAGGATTTTGAGGGGAGGGGTAAGGAAACACCATCTTGAACTTTCAGGAATAAATGTTTAATGCAGTCTGAACAACATAAAACAACAGCACTAACACATGTAAATGCTTACAACTTCATAATTTGCAGCTTTGAGATTTGCTTTAGTTATTGCAAACACATTGTTTACATAAATCTATACAACTGCTACAACATATCATGTAGAAACTATACTATACAGTATTCTGAAGAAAAAACCTAAGAATAGTATGTTTTTCATTTAAAGGTTAACCTGCCCTATTTAACCTTAATGAACATTAGAATTGAATTTTTTGGGTTTAGGTATAGAGTTATGTTTTAAACCAGTGTGTTCTCAACCTTCCTAATGCCGCGACCCTTTAATACAGTTCCACATGTTCTGGCGACCCCCAATCAAACAGTTATTTTCATTGGTACCTTATAACTTCAATGAATAAACAGTTTTTTTTTTTAAAGTGAATAACACGCAGCAAAATAAAATTTTGTTGTGTAGTGTTTTAAAATGTATTGTATTTTTGTGTTTGTGTGTATGTGTGTGTGTGCGTGTGTTTGTTTGTTTTGAAAAATTCATAATTTGTTTAAATCACCACTGATTACTGGCACCACAATGAATAATAGCCTGCAAGTGGTTGGTCATTTTGAGAGAATGGCAGATAACGGAGACAAAAAATATGAATACAGAAGAGTTGATGGGAATAGACCACAAGGCAGACCAAGAAGATGGTGGAGAGGCTGACATACAAGCACTTGGAGTCACCAACTGAAAAAAAAGAAAGCCAGTCACAAAGATAAAAAGCCGAGGGGAACCCTTAAGGCCATAGAAATATGTGTATGTAAAAATATAATAAACAAACAATGAATTGATTGGCACTCATAAAAAGAAGTAGAAAGACATAAAAATCGAAAGCTATAGTTACCGTGGCGGAAATTTTAACCTGTCACCTCCAAATGGTGTGTGCGCCTCGCTGTGGAAACAAATGTACTAAGAACACAACCAATTAGGCATCTCAAAAAGGTGTCTTCATAGGATATGTATCGTACAGCTTTAAATCCACAACTATGGGATACAGATAGAATTCATCTAAAATCATTGAAATGGCACCATAGGTTACAGAAATTTATATTAACCAGGCATAGGTCAAATAACAAGCATAGCAACAATTTACAAACACAGCAGACCATAATGCTTTATCTAGAATACCTGAACATTTAAGATAGAGATTTGATTGGTAGGTTCCATTGTGTTACACATCATTCACACAAAAAAAAAAACAGAAGGGAAACCCTTGAGGTTGTAGAAATATTTTATACATAATAAACAAACAATGTATTGATTGGCACTCATAGAAAGAAGTAGTTTCCTCAAACTTTATTTTTTATTTTTACACCTACAGCCCACCAAAACAGGAGAAATTGTTTCACAGCCCACCTGAACTAAAGACAGAAACAAAAACAAATGTAGATAGGAGTTTATTTGTTATAAATCTAATGTCACTTTTGATTCTTACCCTTGATGTGTTGATCCCACAGACTGCAGTCCTGAAAGATGACCAACTAAATATCCTTCCTCATTATATGATCATAAAGAAATTCTGGGGCAGCCTCCTGGGCTTTCCTGCGGCCCACCATATCTAGATCAGTCACTGGCCACATGGCACATGCAGTTCTCTTCTTCGTCACATTCACTAGCTGTAAACTCCAGCGGAAGGTTCTAGTTGTTCATTCACCTCTGGGCTTTAGTCTTGTTCTAGAACCCGAGTGTTGCAGGCACATCCGTTTTTACAGATCTGACCTATCTGAATGCACATTGTTGATTACTTGCCTCGCAGGAAGATGCTCTCCAACTTTAAAGAAAGCCCCCAATTAGGGGACTCTTACGACATGCCTGTTGGGGAGGCAGTGAGTCTGTTTTTGTCTTCCCACAATGGGGCCCCGGAACCCACACAGGGAGCCTGGAAAATTAAAGAGGACAGTGTTTTGTACAAATGATAAATATATTTATAACAAGAACACTTGTCATCACCCCCCATGTGGGTTTCGGAGCCCGATTATAATGAAAACAAGGATAGACCAACTGCCTACCCAAAAGCATGTCTTAATAATCGAATAATTGGGAGCTTCTTTGAAGTCAGAGTGCATCCCACTGAGAGACAAGGAACCAACAGTCTGCACACAAATGTTTCAGATCTGTTAAATGGATGCACATGCAACACTCATGTTCTGGTAGAGGGCTGCAGTCCAGAAGTGGACAAACAACAAGAACTTTTCACCAGAATTTACAGCTGGTGAATGCAAGGAAGAATGAAAAAGACTTCTCCTCAGTGTTTAAAATGGGAAACAAATGGATTGGGGAAACAAGAACATCCACAAGAAACCCTAAGACCAACTTTCATGAGAGAGGTCAGATGTGCTAGACTGGATTGCATCCATAATATTTAACGAATTGCATAGGACAGAATGGAAACGTTACTATGGGTATAGAGTGAGTGGAAGACCTCGGAAAAGATGGAGTGAGTGGCATTAAGAACAGCCTTACAGAAATGAACATCAGTCTTAATAGTGCGCTTGACAGAGCTCATCAACAAACATTACACCTCCCCCCGACACTTCACTGAGGTACAAGGTGGAAGAGAAGAAGAAGAATTTAATGGAGGAATACAACTGTGAGCCCTGTGTTGCATATAGCAGCATAAAAGGATGAGGATGATGATGATGACATCAAGTACCCAGATTAAGAAAGTGTACAAGGACAAGCCCTGGAAATACACCTAGGTGTAACCAGAGGGTCTGGCCGGCTCACTACTCTCAGAGGAAAGGCAAGACAGACATATACCCAGATTGTAACCAGTACCAACAATTTTGGAACCCTGCGCTGGCTGCTGACGATGAGGACGGAACACACATGGGAATGCCCTAAGAGCTGTGATGTCAATTCTTGCCACAACCCAACTCAGCTCAGCTCTGGAAATATTCGAGATATTACATAGTGTTATCTGCTGCTGCAGGCTGAGGGATATACTAAAGATGGGTTCCGATTGCTTATGGATTTTGTCTGATGTGCAGTGAGGATAACCAGTTCATTAACTCTTTGAGTCCCAAGGAACGCATCATACATTCATAGGTTACTGCCTAGAAGCCCATGAACGCATGATGCACCAATTTTACGTTTCTTTTGACTACCCCTTGGGCCTGGGATGCTAAACCCTCTGGGACTCAAAGAGTTAACTAACCAACTTACATAGGTTATCTTACATTAAAAACTAAATTTAGAAATGATGTGGTAAAAATCAATTGCACATATCAGTTACAGTATTGAGGAGTGATCGAAATATGAGAAAAGTTAAAATGAGAATAAACATTGCGCTGGAAAAATATAAACCAGTTCAAATTTGTATAGACGGAACAATAAATGTCAAAGTACTAAACTTTGACTTTTAACAGATTACCAGAAAAATGTATGCTTCTTTGAACATAAATGTCACAGAAAAGTATTGAAAGGTGCTTGTGCACTGTTTCCTTATGAATGTTATAAATGTCACAGAGGAGAACTGAAAAGTGTGTATATGCTTTGAATATAAACGTTATAAATGTTAGACTTCCAGGTCTATCCAGCCGAAAATCAGAGGCAGGAAGTGTACTGGGGAAGTAAAAGTGGCTTGCATGATGTTGACTGTATTGTTCATCGAGTGCTGATTGGTCAGTACCAGTGGTCTTCAACCCTTTTCAGGTGGCAAGACACCCCCTCCTCCCTCCTTTTTAATTTTTTTTTACTACAGCATAACAAAATGTTATTAACCCTACCAGACCTGAGGCCCTGAACCTAACTGTCCCCTATACTTGAGCTCCTGGGAATTAACGCTAAAACACCAACATTATATACAAAAATATTAGTTACATGCAAACAAGTGATTAGAATAAAATGAAACTTAGAGACATTGTAGAAAATATGTTTACCTTTCTTCTAGCGCCAAATATTCCACCTTTGTTTACCAATCCACCCAGCAGGAATAGCCTTGTTTCACAAAGTGAGCACCAGATGTTGCTGTTTGAGGGACACGCCACCTTCTCTTACTATCGATCTAGTTCTAGACCTATAAGGTTCAAGATTGCCCTTATCACTTGAGCTTTTACTGTCTGTGTAATTTGAACTGGGAACATATTCTTGATAAAATTCCGACCCCTCAGAGTCTAAATCAACCAAAGTATCGACTACCTGTTAGACTGTTAAAAGCCTAGACCTACTTCACTTCTCTGTTGAAGTGCTTGGTTCATCAGCCACTCGTTTCACTTAAATTTTTTAGAATTTGTTCACGTTAAACCACACAAAGTAAATCCAAACACATGGAGGCAGCCATTTGTAATGACTAACCAAGAGGTTTGACAATGATTGGTTGGTTATTTTTAGTTTCTGGCGTATTTTCTCTTTACGTAGTATGCAAAGTACCGAAAATTAGGTACAGTCGTTTAGGATTAGATTAGGAGATTACTGGAAAAGCGGTACAGCAGTCTAGTAGAGTTAAAAAAAGTGGAGGACATAAAAAAAAAAGGTGTTTAATCCTAGGTAATGTAAACAAAATCTTTGAGGACAAACATGCACATAATTCATAGTGTCAGACATTAAAAAAAAAATTAATCACAAAATACTGGTTATTTCTTCTTTTGTCAAAATCTGCTTGTGCCGCAAGGCGTCACAGTCTATCAGATGATCGGCAACCGAGCCAGGGCGCGCTCAGTCGCTTCATATGCCGTGATGTTATGAAGTCTCAAGTTGTCCGTGACTCCTTCAATCCATCTTCTTCTTGGTCTTCCCCTGCCTCTTGGTGTTTCGATTTTCATGTTGTATGCTCTTGATGCTGGCATCGTTGGTTCCAGTCTCATTAGGTGACCAAACCATTTCATTCTTTGGTTATTTAGTGTCCAAATATCAGTGTGATGGTTGATATATTGTTTTAACTAGATCAGTGTTTCCTAAACTTGTTGGACACACCACCCCCTTTTTAATGGGGAAACAATCGCCCAATCCTCTTTGCCCTCTCCCTGGACATTTCATTATTACATCTCGTCAGAAAGAGGAGACATGTGTTCCTGGGCTGGCAGACCAAGTTAGCCTAGTGGTTTGGTGAATTTGGGATTCACTGTAATACAATCACAGGACACTAGACTGCTAGGCCAGTGAATTCTCCTGGAGTTGAATCTGAGGGGTTGAATCTGCACCAAGCACAATTTCTATAACTGACTTTGGCTTCTAAATTTATCAAGCCTAAAATATACTGGAAAATGCCACGAGAAGTAAAAGTGGCTGGCGTGATGTCTTCAGTGCTGATTGATTTAACAAATTAGTGGTCTTTCAGTATGTGCCTAATGGTAATGGATGTGAAAGGCAGTGGCCAGTTTGGACTCACAGCTTGCCACATCCTAACTGGCATGGAGCATACACTGCTAGTTGACTGTATTGTATATTGACCTATGTTCTAACTAGATTTTTTTTTTCTGTCTAGGTAAATTTTATCTGTTCTCTGACTTCATGCAGTTTTGTACTTACTTATGTTTGATAAATGTATAGAAATAAATTCCAAGTTCATAAAAATTAATCATTTTAACTTAATTCTAATTGTTTTATCTTTTTGTTTCAGCATCTTGATTATTCTTGGGACTGCTTTTGGTGCAGTGTTTCAGTAAGTTCTTAAACACATATTTAAAAAAAAAAAAAAAATGCACTCACTGTCTGTCAAAACTGTATATACATTTTAACATAAATTACTAATGGACTTTTGATAAAGTTAGATTAAAGTGGCAGTAAGTAATACAGTAGAATATTTTCTCCCCCAAAAAATGTTATTACTTACGTATTACCAAACTGCTGAACATTTGGGGGGAAGAAACATTGATATGGCAAATACAACAATTTCTCTATGCCATGTTGCCAAATTGCTTACCATCTTCTTTTTTATTTTTCCTTTGCCTTGCTTTCCATCAAACTTTTTCCATATCAGGTTTTTTTTTTTCTTTCTGGTGGAGCTCAGGTAATCACAGTTTCAACTTCAGATGAACCAATAGCTGCTCCATTCATGTGCACAAACTCCCACAGAATGTCCCACTCTGTCCCTTTAAAAAGAAAACAAAAATTTGACAGACTAAAATCTGGGTAAAGCTAGTAGAATACACATGTATTAAATGCAGAAGACTATTTCCTAGAAGTACCAGCACAAACAGTTTTGCAGAAACAAAATGGAACCGTTCATTTCTAAAATAATTTGCACATCTGTTGTACATATTTCTAGTGTTTCTACCATATTTAAAGACCCACAATAGCACAGTGGTTAGCCCACATGTCTGCCAGTTTAGGATTCATCAGATTCTTGATTAACTCTTTTGCCCTGTGAATGCTTAAACAAAAGGTTCATGAACTAAAAGGAATTTCCCCAAAATCCATTGAAAAAAAAAAAAAGATAATAGCTATATTACACATGCCATTAATAAAAAAAAAAATTAGTTATTTGCACATATAATATTTTTAAAGGTAAAATTGTACTTACTTTTTTGTTTTGTTTTGCCGTAGCATCATATGTACGGTAAAATCATGCTTGCTGTTTTTTCCCCCATACCACAGTTTTATAGGTAAAAATCATATCATGCTTACTGTTTTTTTTTTTTTGGTGTGCCTTTTCTTTGTCTTACCACCACTATTATATAAGTAAAATCATACTTACTGTGTTTTGCCTTACCACCATATTTAAGGTAAAATCAGGCTTATAATTTTTTTCCCCACCCTACTACCATAGTTAAGGGTAAACTCAAATCACAGTTTGTTTTGATAATTTTTGTTCCCCACCCTACTACCATAGTTAAGGGTAAACTCAAATCACAGTTTGTTTTGCTATCGTTTCAAAGAAAAATCAGCTAACATTTTATTTATTTATTTTTTAGTATCATCATCCAATTTTATATATTTAAAAAAAATTGTCACATAGAGCTTACAATCTATTTCTGCACTCCATTGTATCCTATGCATTTTTACAACTATATTTGAGCTAAATTCACACATAAATCTTTCCCATATACCATATTTGAGGTACAGTCACGTTTTTAGCCCTACCATCATAACTTGGGTAAAATCCTAATCCCGTTTTTTATGTTTCAGTGTTACTGGAATTTCTGAGAGCCTACCAGAATTTTTCAAGCCTCATGAGTTTTTCATGTTCTTGTTACCACCGTAAGTTATTGCGGTTTGTATCTTTCATTCATGACAGTTCCGTTTGATAAGTAGCTGCATGTATTAATCAAATAGAGGAGTGGTCAGAATACTGGGCTGTCCTGCGGGGGACCTGGGTTCAAATCCTTTGTAGGGCAGTAGCAATATTTTTCTTGGGGGGGGGGGGGGGGGGGGGGGGGGTAATATCTTAACTTGCACAGTTCATGGTGGCTTGGCAAAGTGGTCACATGGTTGATTCCACATTGAGATGTATACAAAAATATCATTGGGCTTCCAGGTCCCTGTATGGATTCAGGAGCCTCATTGTGGAAAACAAAAAAGAATAGAAAATAGAACCACTGCCTCCCCAACAAGCATGTTGTATGAACTTTGACATTATATACAGATATACCTGGAAATTAAATATTTAAAAAAAAAAAACCCAGTGAGAATGAACTTATAAGGAATAAATCAGTAAGTAAGTTGGTTGGGATATAATCATTCCACTCCTGATGTGTCCATAGATTCTCAGATCCTTCGCTAAGTCTGAACTCCAGCATCCTGTGACTAATAGTGCCAGTTCTTTGTTGATTGATAAGTTTTTGTTTGTTTGCCTGATGTGTTTCTTGCTTTTGGCCATGCCGATCTAAACTCCCGAGTCTTTCATTCTGGTGAGCGATGTGGAATCGCTGTCTCCAAAGTCCTCATCCCTTCCTACTTCTCTGAGGGCATTAATAATATCAGCATGATCCATGGGTTGACCTTCAGCAGCGACAGCGGATCTAGCCATCTTATCAGCTCTTTCGTTTCCATCGATGCCAACGTGCCTCAGAATAAAGTTAAAAACGATGTTATGCACAGTGGACTTCTGTAATGGCTCAGTCCATTCAATGTGAAAAGGAATAAAATTAGAAAGAAAGTGAAATCACTTAGAAGACAGCATTAAAAGAAATCAGGGCAGTTTTAACTAAGAAACTTTGTGTTGCAAAAGATACAATAAACAAGAAGTATCCTGTTGCCTTATTCTTGGTTATTATTTATTTAAAAAACAATTGAACTGCAGTCCTGGTAAGTAAAGGCATCCAGCGTGATTTTGACCACGTCAACCATTTTGTGCCGATTGGTCTGTAAAATATAGGTCAGCCCTTTATGCCCTATACGCCTAAAGGTCTTTACTTTTATTTTTTATTTACTATTGCATGATAAAGACGCTGGCGTTGGATAGGACATACACTGAGAAAACATGAGAACAATATAACTAGAATGTCTTTGCACTGAAACCCACAGGGGCGTAGAAATAAAGGAAGACTAAAAACACACGGAGAAGGGAGCTAGAATGAAGTTAAAAAGATGGACAGGCCATGGGGAGAGTTGTATGCGATGGCGAAGGATAGAACGACTTGGCATGCATTGGTTGATTGCCTATGCTCTATTGGGGGATAGAAAGGCAGAAGAAGGAAGGAGTGTAATTGCGCAATAATGAAAATTTCTCATATTTATAATTATGTTGAGGCAGGTAAAAATACAATTATTGTTGGAATTTTATTGTACCTTCATTAGTTTAAATTTATACAAATGTTTCTCTGATTATTTTGTTTTTGATTTAACAGGATCATCTTGGAAGCTGCATTTAGTTTGCATGACAGGACTTTCACAGAAAACATTGGCAGCATCTTGTTGTTTGCAGTGTTGGTATGTGTTTTATTTTTTCTTTCAACATAAGTTATAAATTTATTATCATGTAGCAGGTCCTTTGTAGAACGTCACTCTCATCACGGTCTGCCTGAAAGAAACTTTGTCTCTTGCCAGCTCTCTTGTCTCTTATATCTTACGCCCATCTTCGTGTTGGTCGGTTTCTGCCCCTTCTTCCTGGTACCATGCCTTCTGCTATTACTTTTTTTCCCCGTCTGCCATGGCGCTTGATATTACTAAAATATTTCATCTTCTGAGGCAAGATGCTGTTTATTAGCTAATCTTTAGCTGATCTTCCTTGATGTTCAGATCTTTTAAAATGTCAGTATTTCTTCTCTTCTTTGTCCAAGGTATTTTGAGAATCTATAGCATTTCAGCTCAAAAACTTCTTAAAACCACTTCATCAGCTGCCTCACTATCTTCCTCTATCAGGGTGTGATCAACTAATGATGTAATACACGTGGACAGACAAACTGTAACCAAGATGAATGGGCGATCGATGGCTCACTGTCAAGTCTCTTACAGCCTCCCACTATCTCACATCTGCAGTCTCTCTAGACATGGACAAACCCCCCAGCGAACTTTGTGCCAGGTGCCTACTATGGGCAACCACACCCAACCCGCAGATACACCTATGAGATGTACATTGACAATTCCCTGGCAGTTCAAAAAAATGGGATTAAAGAAAAATGCACTTCTAGTGAAGACTCCCGCCTGCTATCTTAACCACTCATTGAAGTATCACTAACATCCTGTCAATCAGCCTTGGATACTTCCTCCCATCACAACTACACAAGGTCCCCTGACACCTTCCGTGCTCTTACAGAAACCCCGTCAACCACATGTCCCATAGCCGTAAAACTCTCGACCCCACAACACATGGCCGACACAAGTCCATTCTAGACATTACTGACAGAATTCCTGAAAGTCCAACTCAGGATACTCCACAATCATCCCAGATAGGGAATGGGGGGGGGGGGGGGGGCTGTGTGGTCTCAAGGTAAGGCATCCACCTCAAATGCTGTAGATTCCGGGTTCAAACCCCGGTGAAGGCTGGTTTTTTTTTAAAAACTCCCTTGGCAGTTAGGAAATCAAAAAGAGTAGCCTAACGACGCTGCCTGGACAAAATTTTGAGTTTAAAATCTACCCAAGTATTTTCAGGATCCTCGCCTGTGCAACAGAGTTTGTCACGCTTGAGTTAGAAGTAGAACGGAGCACCTGTGGGTTTACACCCGTGTGCCATGATGTTGATCCATCGACTAAACTAAACTAAACATCCCAGATGGTTCACAGGAATTCTACAGAATAAAACATTGTTAAAACACAGTTCATTCAACGCCTGAACTCAAACAACACGCCACACAGTAAGATGAACTGAAAGCAACTGATGTGGACACGGGTTCACCTTCAACAGCTGGTCGGTCACACCTGGGTCTCACAGTCCCTCTAGAGACCGCTGTTACCCGTTCATCTCAAGAAACCTTTGTCTCACACTTCAAGCAGCCTGAACCTCTGTCATCATCATCATCGTCATCATCTAGCGTCTTTACGACTACCGTAGGTGATCACGCCTCTCAGACTTCTAGTACAATTGAACAGCAAAGTGAGTTCAGCACACAACAGTACTGTTAGCATATCAACTCTTTGTTGGCTACTGAGGAAGGAGATGGATCACTGTGGGGGGAAACATAGGCAGACTTTTAATCAGATTGCAACTGGTACTGTTAACATATTGACTCTTTTTTTCGCTTCTGAGGAAGGAGATGAAACACTGTTGGAATTACCAGAGTACAGTGATGTAACTTGTTGATCCATCCATTCATGATACTGTTAACATATTGACTCATTTTTTGCTTCTGAGGAAGGAGATGAAACACTGTGGGAATCACCCGAGTGCAGTGATGTTAATTGTTGATCTGTCCATTCATGGTATTGTTAGCATATTGACTCTTTTTTTCGCTACTGAGGAAGGAGATGGAACACTGTGGGAATCACCGGAGTGCTATGATGTTAATTGTTGATCCATCCATTCAATTGTAGTAATAGACTTTACCAGTTGTTAGATCGATTTGGCCCTACTGCAATAACTTTTACCGTATACATATGTGGTATACATATGTGTTATATGTAACACCAATACACATGTATGTGTTGATATAGTTATTGATCCAGCAGTATGAGGGCTGTCACACGGTGGCTTAATGTCATAAGTAAAACCTGCAGAATTCACCAGCTGTTGGTAGTAATTATGTAGAGGCATCTGTGCATGTGCATGTCTGAGTATACGTGTACGTATGAGTATTTGTGAACGAATTAGTGTGGGTAACCGTGTTTGTGAGAGTGTATGGTGCTAGTATGCATGTATGAATGTATGTGTATTTGAATGTATATATTTGCCCTCAATACCTTATGTTTTTATCTTAAACTCATATTGTGTGTTTTGTTTTATGAGCATAACATGCTTTATTGATTAAAAAAATACACTGGGAGTGTGAAAGTTTGAGTGTTTGAAAAGACTGAATTTAAAATGGGGGTAACCTCAAAGAGGAGCCCTAGCCAGGCAAACCTTAAATTCTCTGGCTGAAGGCAACACCCCCCCCCCCCTCCGTCTACACTGCCCTAAAAAAGTGGTAAAACAGACAGTAGTGACAGTTTACAGTACCCTTTAAAAATGAAGTTCGTTCATTGGCTCTGTTTTATCTGACTCTAGTGGTAGTTGGAAGAAAAGTCCAGGACCCTTTAACTGTTTCCATCCCAGAAGCTCGTAACAGGTGCCTGACTGAAACATAATGATGACAACAAAAGCATGGGTATACTGCATACCTGCGGGTCCAGATGCACAGCACATTGTGGCTGTTTCTTCTTCTTCTTCTTCTTCTGCTGCTGCTGCTGCTGCTGCTGCTGCTGCTTCCTTCTTCTTCTTCTTCTTCCTTCTTCTTCCTTCTTCCTTCTTCTTCCTTCTTCTTCCTTCTTCTTCCTTCTTCTTCCTTCTTCTTCCTTCTTCCTTCTTCTTCCTTCTTCCCTCTTCTTCCTTCTTCTTCTTCTTCCTTCTTCTTCTTTCTTCTTCTTCTTCTTCTTCTTCTTCTTCTTCCTTCTTCTTCTTCTTCTTCCTTCTTCTTCTTCTTCTTCCTTCTTCTTCTTCTTCTTCCTTCTTCTTCTTCTTCTTCCTTCTTCTTCTTCTTCTTCCTTCTTCTTCTTCTTCCTTTCTTCTTCTTCTTCTTCTTCTTCTTCTTCCTTCTTCTTCTTCTTCTTCTTCTTCTCTTCTTCTTCTTCTTCCTTCTTCTTCTTCCTTCTTCTTCTTCTTCCTTCTTCTTCTTCTTCTTCTTCCTTCTTCCTTCTTCTTCCTTCTTCTTCTTCTTCCTTCTTCTTCTTCTTCCTTCTTCTTTTCTCTACTCTAGAGTGCTTTACAACATTTTATCACTCACCTTTACTTTCCAAGTCAGTTCCTTCTTCTTCTTTTCTCCACTCTAGAATGCTTCACAAAATCTTTTCAGTCACCTTTACTTTCCAAGACATTTCCTTCTTTTTCTTTACTCTGGAATGCTGCAGAATGTCATGACAGGAAGAGATCTTTTGAACAGATCCTTCTGTTAGCTTCATATGTAGTAATTTTCAGTGTCTATATTTATTCTGCTTGGTCGACCTCTTGGTGTGTTACTGCTGTATATGTATAACATTGCTCTCTGTGGTGCCCTGTCTGTTACTAGTCTTGTTACATGGTCAAACCATTTATTTGATCTGTTGTCTACCCATTAAGTTCAGTGTTGGTTCTTTGTTGTTTCTCTCACTGATATCATTGTTCCTGAGTCCATCTTCCCTTGTTACACCTAGCATAATACATAAACATTTCATTTTTCTTGTGATTAGTTTTTCTTCTGTTTTCTGATGTCGTGTCCATGTTTGACCCAGAAAGCATAGCGTTGGTAAGAATAATCTTTGTAACTGCTTTTTTTTTTTTTTAAAGTGTAATTTCCTTACATTAATTTTATTATGAGTTGACCTGCAACCAGGCCAATCATAAACATCTACCTCTAGGCAGAATCAAACCAAGAACCCTTGGACTTGCAGGCTAACATCTAGTGACTACTTTGGCTCCCTGGGTGTTACAAATAACACTTTTATGTTGTTATTGTCATCGACCCAGCAGGGTCTTGAGCTCTTTCACTCAGCTTATTGTTATTTAGTGTGTGATTGTGTGCATGGTTTGTTCCATTTACAGTGTTCTGTTTATTTGACTGTAGCAACTGCATTATTTAGGAATGTCTTGCTTGATGTAACACAGCATTACAGACAGGGGAGGAATATGTGTGTGGGAGAGAGAATGGGAGAGAGAGAGAGAGAGAGAGAGAGAGAGAGAGAGAGAGAGAGAGAGAGAGAGACAGAGTGAGAGAGAGAGAAAAAGAGAGAGAATGAGAGAGAGAGTGTGTGAGAGTGAGCGAGTGAGAGAGAAAGAGAGAGATGGGTAGAGAGAGAGATAGAGAGAGAGTGTGAGAGAGAGTGAGTGAGAGAGAGTGTGAGCGAGAGAGAAAGAGAGAGTGAGAGGGGGGGTGGAGAGAGAGAGAGAGAGAGAGAGAGATTTATTTTTAGAGCGTCACACATTGGGCTCAGAAATGAAACTACAGGCAGTCCTTCCAAAGACTGTTCTTTCACTCAGCAATTTTTTGTTACTTATAAAGCATCTTGGCGTTCAAACAACAGTAAACATGATATGAGCATCAAGAAAAACAAAAAAAATTAGGAATAGTAAATGTATACATTGAAATATACATACATATCACACACACACACATGCACACATGTACTTGCTGTAAGCACCTTTTCATCTTTCCAGATGATAGTGTTACAGTGGAACTTCGCTTAACAAGCTATAATTCGTTCCAGAATCATACTCGTCAAGTGAAACGCTCAATATGCAAAACAATTTTTCTCATATAAATTAATGTAAAATACGATAATGCGTCCATGTCGAAAAAAAAAATACTTACAAATAGCTATGTATAATGTTTGTTCAAAGACAGTTATCTACATATTGTTAAGGAGAGTGAATCATCTTCATCTTTTCTTCAAACGCGGAACAAACCTACCTGGAATTCGATCTGCAGAAAACAAAATTTGAAATAATTATGATACATAGCTAATTATGTTTTTTTTAACTAGAAAGATGTCCAGAGAGATATGTGTTTGCCAACGCTTCAAAAATTGGCAAAAATGCGACAGAATTATCATTAAATAAATTTGCAACGCGCAAAGCCACTTTCTTACTATGGTGATGCTTCTCAATGTAAGATGCAACAGTTTCCCATGCTTTAAGCATTTCTCTTATTTTGCCAGAAGATTGTTGCTTTTCTGTTACCTCCTCCTCCTCCTCTCTGACAAACTTTTCTCCAAAACTTCTGGCTGTGAAACACAATGCAACTTCATAAGCTCTTAGGTGGTCAGTTCTTGGCTGTGCTCTTCCACAAGCTCTTCGATATCACTGTTATCCACCTCCAATCCCATGATAATGGCCAAGACACAATCTCGTTGAAAACAGGTCTCACTGGTACTGTCTCGAACCCCTCGTCACAAATCGACAATGTTCTGCAGCCAAAGCTTCTTCCAAGCAGAAGTTAGGGTTTTCTTGGTAACCTCTTCCCCCTCCTTGTCGATTATCTTGAGGCAGGTAACGATGTGGAAGTGATTTTTCCAAAACTCTTTGAGAGTGAGGTTGGTCCCTTCAGTGACCTGAAAACAATGCTCGAAGAGTGCTTTAGTGTAGAGCTTCTTAAATTTAGAAATAACTTGCTGGTCCATGAGCTGGAGTATAGGAGTGGTATTGGGAGGCAGAAATTGGATCTTGATGAACTCAAATTCTTCAGACAGGCCATCTTGTAGGCCTGGAGGATTCATGTACATATATCACAACATAACACAAGTTTGAGAAAATGTGTGATCACAAGCGACACTACGATGCTACTGGAACAAGTGCTAAACACAGACTGATGTAACATGCGCACAATCCGGGACTTCCCCTCTCCTCGCCACTCGTTATGCGAAACATCGCTCGTTAAGCAAGTCAATTTTTTTACAATTTGTTTTGCTCGTTATGCGAATTACTCGTTATGAGAGGTGCTCGTTAAGCGAGGTTTTACTGTATATTGTTCTATCAGGAGGCATAGGACTCACAGCTCATGATCAGTGTCCAGTTAAGGCCAGGGATAAAGTTCCACCTCTCAACAACAAAACCTGGGCAGTATTTTAGAGACCATACGTTGCACATGTATCATGACCCCTCTGTCGACCTGCCTTGTTTACTCCAAAGGAAAGGTGACACCAGTACGCCTGGAACAAAGCAGGCTGCAGAAGCTGCCGGATCAGAAGAGTAGTGCTCTATCTGTCCGCGTGTCAGAGCTTCCCTCCTAGACCAAAAAAGGCTAGTGGCCTGATCTGCTGCCCTGCCATAAGGTTTTTATGTTACATTTCCTGTTCCTAGGGTAAGGCTAATATGGGATGTCATATTTGGTATATGCCACCCAACATTTGGTGTTAACAGAAGTCGGGTAGGTAGTATGGGCAACATTCGCCACCAGAACTGCAATTTTTCATCGATGGAATTTATTTAATTTGATTTGATTCAAAAACCGACATCACAGCACTCGGGGCATTCCCATAAGCGCTCCCTCCCCATCTTCAGCAGCCAGCGAAGCGTTCCGATACTAATGGTGCCAGTAGTATTCTGATTAAACGTCCGTCTTGCCTTTCCTCTGAGCCTCAAGCATCTGCCAGAACCTCTCGTCACCCCCAACTGCATCAATCTCACCAGACTGTGGTGATCTATCTGCTCCTCCGAGTTGTACACCCTCTCCCACAAGGCACTAACCACGTCTGCCCTTTCGTGTATCAGTATTCCACCAAGTTGTGCAGAGCCAGCCAGTCTGTCCGCCTTTTTATTTCCCGACACACCTGCGTCACCCGGTGAAAAAATCCAGACGATACTCCTCACTCATGTCATCGATGGAAGTAGTCAATTACAATAAGATAACCATACACATGTATCAATTCTATGGAGATCTGGATATACAGAAGATTAGGTCGTATTTCATGGAAACAAAAGCTATCAAATACAGAGGTACTGTGGAAATTGGAAATGAAAAGAGAGTTGCTAGGTGAAATAAAAAAGAGACAAGTGAAATATTTTGGCCACATTAAAAGACATAACAGTATTGTAAAGATCATCCTAGAGGGAAAGGTTCAAGGTAGGCGAGCAAAAGGCAGACAGCGTTACAAGTGGGAGGATAACATCAAGAGATGGACGAACAGCAGTATGAGTGAGTGTACATCAAGGGCAAGAGACAGGGCTTGTTGGAGATCCATTGCAGCCAACCTTCATTGTGGAGACGGCACCTGATTGATTGATTGAGCCATACACAAGCAACTGTATGCCTTATACAAAGTGTAAATGTGTTGCCAGTAACATAGTAATGCAGTAGAATCTTCTAGCACTGAAAGAATTCAATGCTTGCTCCTAACTCTCTACAAATAAACACATTGCAATTTCTTGAAGCTTGTAAACAAAATTCTCTTTTTTTTTCTTTTTCAGGGGACTATATTGGCCTGTGTCTTGTTAGGTATGTTGTCACTGATATGCTAGTTTATTGTTTGATATCCAAAAGAGGAAAGGAAAAAGGAGTAGTGGAAGAAGAAAGAAGAAGAGGAGGAGGAAGAAAATGAAGAAGAAGATGAAAGGAAAATATTTTGGTGTTCAAGACATTTAACTAATCTATGCCGGTTTTCCTTGATGTTCAGATCTTGTAGAATTTCGCTATTCTTTTTCTTATACGATCCATTGTTTTAAGATGTTCTTTTCTTCTACCTTCTATTTCCAAATGGACATACACCTCAGTCAACTCCTTCCTTTGCCATCTCATGCAGCTTACCTGGGGACCTCCCTATCTGAATCACCACAGTTTCAAATCCTCTTCTTCTGTTTGATCTTGCAGAATATCTCCTCCCTGTGTGAGCTCTAAAGCCCCTTTGGGGGAGAAGGGAAGAAAAGAACGACCCATCCTTATACAGCATGCCATAAAAGGGGACTAATTAAGGACTTATGGCCAGAGTAACTAATAACGATTGCTTGAAAGAAGCTAATGAAAGTAGATGCAACAATAAGAAAAAGACAAACACTGTTCTTTGTTCACATAATGAGAAGAGAGGCATTGGAGAACATCATGACAATTGGAAAGATCAGTGGAAAAAGGGGTAGAGACAGATCAAGAGAGATGATGCTGGATGGGCTGAAATGCTGGCATGGAGGGATATCATCAAGAGAGCTGTTCCAGGCAACCAGGGATCATGATCTGTGGAGATGCATGAGCGCCTACACCAGTTGGCAGGGCACGTGATGATGATGAAATAAGGACTTGCTGAAAGGTGCTGAAAACCACAACACAGTGTGCCAAATGTTCTAAAGGGAGATCAGAGAAGAAGAAGAAGAAGAAGGGAAATGAAGATTTGTCAGTATTTGATATCTTATTGATCTTTGATATCGGTGTTTTACTTGTTCTTTAGTTTTCTCTTGCAGTTCTGCAGATATTTAATTCTTCTGGACTTTATCACCATGGGGAACATAAACCTTCCACCCACTTACACCAAATCATATCCCATTCTGTCTTATACAGATCATCATAACTGATTCACATCAATATGATTATCTTCACTTCTTTGATCTCAAAGAAACAATTTTACTTCTTCTTGATCCACAGTACTCAGTTCTCATTTTCTTCCCAGTTCTCCGTATATCTATGAAAACCAAATTTCTCTTAAATTTTGTAACCACCAGCTGGCAATTAACATGCTCTGACTGCCAGAGTGGTGCTGTCATCTATAATGCATGTATGTATTCTCTGGGTAATATCACCACTAGTTCATGAAATGTCACAGTAGTGTGTTATGCTGTACATATTGGACATAGAGAAATAAATAGCTGGGAATCCCCTGAGACCATGGAAACAGTATGGTAAACAAATTAACTTGAGTTGACTGGCAGTCATAGAAAGGAGATGGGATAGGAGAAAAATAGAGATAGGATGATCAGACTTGTCCATGCTTGCTTTCCCTGCTCTGCCCCTTGCTGTAACCATACAGTGGGTGCTCCATTGGTGCAGTATTTAGCACAATTTGTGTGTGTCTAGGGGCTCATGATTTTTAATTCCTTCAAGAATCATGGTTGTTTAAAGATGCATATATATGTGTGTGCGTATGTGTGTGTAAACATATATGTTTATATATATATATATATATATATATATATATATATATATATATATATATATATATATATATATACATATATAGAAACAAATAAATGTGTATATATTTATACATATGTATATATTTTTTATGTATATAAATATGTATTTATTTTATATATATGTATTTATATTAAAAATATATAAATATGCATACATATATACTTATAAATATATATGTGTGTTTGTGTGTGTACATACACACACAAATAGTTATCTGTACTTTAAAAGACCGATTGAAGGGGGGGGGGGGGGGTGATGTCAGATTGTTTGGGTGGTTTTTCAACGGGTTAGAAAAAAAAAAAGAGGTGAAATTTCATTAGGTTGCAGCCAGCATCATCAGTATGGTAACTCTTCTTTGGCTACTGAGGAAGGGGACATAGCATTTGTGGGAATTCCTCAGGTGCAGTGATGTCGTTGCTTGATTGATTGATTGATTCATTCATTTATTCATACATACAAATTGGCACAGAGCTTGATTGTTCATCTTGGCCAACACTTTATATTTTAATCTACCTGTGACAGTAACATGTGTATTCACAAATGCAGCTGGCACAGATGCATAAATAGTAAGCTGCATGAATAATCAGCACTTTTACACTCAGGGAAATAGAGTATGGGATTGTCATGTATGCTGTGATATTCTAGTTAATCAGTCATTTGTTTGTATATATGGACACATCCTGAGAAGAATAAGGAGAATCACCAAACATTCACTAAAATGGGAAACAAAGTTATTGAGGCAACAGAAATGCCAAAAAAAAAAACAACAACAACCCTGAAATGAGTAATGATGTGAGGGCAAGAGGCCACCAAAGGAGAATATGGATTGATACCATTAAAGTCATGTTTCATCCATATGTAAGTGAAGGACTCTTCATGTCTTTGGGGTATCAAGTAAATAGTGCTATACTTATATTTGTATAGACTATTTGGCTCTCAGTGGGTGTTGTGGTCAGAATCAACGCCAGTCACCTTTACTTCCAAGGAATCACTGTGTGAGTTCTAGGGCCCAATTATGGTAAAAAAGAATAGACTCACTGCTCCTCTAACAAGCATGTTGTAAAACTGGACTATTACGGGTCTATCCTTCAAAGTAAGAGTTCATCTGCCTGAGAGGTGAGGGACCAGCAGTCTGCATACACATTAAGCCAGACCTGTAAAACAGATGGGCACATAAAACTCAAAGTTCTGGAACAAGACCAAAGTTCAGAGGTGGATGAACATCCAGAACTTTCCGTTAGAGTTTACAGCTGATGAATGTTAAGAAGAAGAAGACTTCCTAGGACATTACCTGGTACCTCTTTTAGGTTGGGTCAAACTGAGAGCCAAGGTCAGTTTTGAAGATACAAAAAATCTGGCCCAGAACTTTGGGCCAGCAGGCAGTCCGTCTGCAACTCCCATTGTACATCCACATGGAAAAAGATGTTCAGAGTACAGTATGGGCAAAGCCAGTCAGTGGAAGCAGCAGTTTCAACAGATCAGTAGTTTCGCATGCAGTTAATCATAGAAGGCACCACACGGAATGACAGAGGCCAATTTTAACCCATTCAGTGCTTGGTTGCAAATTATTCCTCGTGAATGCATAACTGTGAAAGTGGCAGTTAATCTTCTTCTTTTCTCTTCTCCTGGAATGCCTCACGGTGTCAGGACAGGAAGTGATCTCTAGAATGGGCCCTTCTGTTTGCTTCGTATAAAGTGTTTCTGATATTTCTTCAGTGCATCTTCTGTGTTGTCAGCCTCTGGATCTGTTACCGCTGCATCTATATAACATTGCTGCCTGCAGTGCCCTGTCTGATGTCAATCTTGTTACATGGCCAAACCATTTGGTTTGTTGTCTACCTATAGAGTTTAGCATTGGTTCTTTATATTGTATGGAAGTTAGTGTTGGTAATAATGATAGCCAAACATGTCATTGGTTAAAATTTGTCACTGCATTTGCAGGTGGTACGCTGTATGGACTGGCAAAATGTGGGGCAATGGGGGAGATCACTCAGTTGAGTTTTATGGAGATCATGGTATTCTCCTCCTTAATTGTGGCTGTGGATCCTGTAGCTGTAAGTCTTGTTATTTTGCCAAGTTTTCATTTATTCTCTTTGTGGAAATACAGACAGAAAACAGGTCTTGCTGCACCACTGGAGCTCTCACTGCATTGCTGTAGCAGACAAGAGAGCCAGAAAACAATAGTATGCATGTCCAAGAAGTACATCATTAAACACAACAACATTTCATAAATTTCTAGTGCTCTTACCACTGATCTGGTATACCATGTTAGCTGGCAAAAGATGGTGATAAAAAGTGAAAGATATTCAGGTTTTTTATTAGACATCTGTTGAATTGTATGACTGGTCTAATTGATGTGTGAAAAAAAAATGGACAGAATGCAGTCTTAGCAAATCCTACCGCATACGTGTGCAGTAAATGCATAAGGCAGCCATCAAAAGTGCCAGCAAAAAAACAGTTCGTCATGAGAAATGCATTAAGTCATTGATGGAAGCAGCAATTACAACAGATCACTAGTTGCAAACCACAAGCTGGCTCCAACCATTTTGGGCACAGTCAAAAAAGCATTCCAAAATAAAACCGCAGCTTACAGTGTCATGCCACGTACTGAGCTCAGTAACTGGGTGACAGAACTATATGTTTTCAGTCCACATATAGAGGGAAATGCAACAGCTAACTATTATCAAAAGCAAAATCTTGCCATTGGGGCTCAGTGCCTAATTTGGGGGTTTGTCTTAGACATCCATAGAATGTGAAGAAATAAGAATTGTAAACATGGGGATCAAAGGAAGTCAAATGCTCATATTCTGAAAGGTCTAAGGAGTCTGCAAGTCTTAGATAGTCCATCACACACTGTTGTGAATCCATAAGTTCATGGATATAGCAGTCTGTGATGGTGGATTCAGTTCTATTATATAGTGAACCATAGGTTTATGGATACATACAGTCTATGATAGTGTATTCAGTTCTGTTACCTTATCTGTTTTTTCTCTGTCATTTTTTGGCCACACTCTTACCACGAACACCCTTACTCTTGTAGTATATCTTTTACTGTCATGTTCATACACACTAATACCATGCTACCCTCACTCTTTTAGTATATCGTTTACTCTGTCATGTTTCAGACACACTCATACCATGCCACCCTCACTCTTTTAGTATATCTTTTACTCTGTCATGTTTCAGATACACTCTTACCACTTACTTTGTCTTTTTTTTCTCTCCTCTTGCTATTCCACTCTGTTAGTCTATTCGTTCTCTCTCTCTCTCTCTCTCTCTCTCTTTAAAACTCACTCTCTCTCTCTCTGCGCGCTTGCCTCTCTCTTTCTCTTGTCTCTCTCTCTCTTTCTCTCTTTCTCTCTCCATCACTCTTTAAGCCTCTCTCTCTCTCTCTACGCCTGCCTCTCTCTCTCTCTCTCTCTCTCTCTCTCTCTCTCTCTCTCTCTCTCTCTCTCTCTCACTCTGTCTTTCAATACTCATTCATATGAAGACACTCACAATGCATAAGGCAGATTATATACGGAAAGTCAATAATCAAAAGGACCCTTAATTTATGCCAGTGGCACAACGGGCATATGATGCAGGACCCTTATTTCTATAGACCACTCAATGCTCATTGGTTGTTACGATCAATATCATGGTAGCCACCTTTACTTTCTAGGACATTACCAGGTACCCATTTTAGGCTAGGCCAGTCTAGGAGCCAAGATAAATTAGGAAAAATTCGGCCTCAGCTTGGATTTGAACCTAAAACCTTAAGGCTAGCAGATAAATGTGTTTTCACTATTCTAAGATAGTCCAAAAATCAGTAGTTGATATTTAAACTCTTTTAGCACCGAACAAAACACCACGTATGACTGCTTTGACTCATATGCACCAGACAGAACACATTTTATGCTTGACATGACATAGTAAAACACCCAAAAACACCTCAGACTCCTACAAGGGTTGTGTATTTAGCTCCTCTGGATGTAGTGTGCTCGTGATTTTGTTGCCTTTATGCTTGCGTCATTTAGGTATCAGTTTTTGACCTTCTAGGACTGAAAAAGTTAAAAATTTAAATAAGAATGTTTATCCTGATTATCTGTTCTTGTAGGTCCTGGCCGTATTCAACGAAATTGGTGTCAACCATGTGCTTTACTTCCTTGTATTTGGAGAATCACTGCTTAATGGTATGTACCATTTGTGTTGGAGAATGGCTGCTAAATCCTTTTCAACATTTATGTTCGAGAATAGCTGCTGAATTTATGTAACAAACGTTTTAGAGAATGGCTGCTAAATCATTTGTAACATTTGTGTTGGAGAATGGCTGCTAAATCATTTGTAACATTTGTGTTGGAGAATGACTACTAAATCATTTGTAACATTTGTGTTGGAGAATGGCTGCTAAATCATTTGTAACATTTGTGTTGAAGAATGGCTGCTGAATCATTTGTGTTGGAGAATGGCTGCTAAATCATTTGTAACATTTGTGTTGGAGAATGGCTGCTGAATCATTTGTAACATTTGTGTTGGAGAATGGCTGCTGAATCATTTGTAACATTTGTGTTGGCGAATGGCTGCTGAATCATTTGTAACATTTGTGTTGGAGAATGGCTGCTGAATCATTTGTAACATTTGTGTTGGAGAATGGCTGCTGAATCATTTGTAACATTTGTGTTGGAGAATGGCTGCTGAATCATTTGTAACATTTGTGTTGGCGAATGGCTGCTGAATCATTTGTAACATTTGTGTTGGAGAATGGCTGCCTAATCATTTGTAACATTTGTGTTGGAGAATGGCTGCTAAATCATTTGTAACATTTGTTTTGGAGAATGGCTGCTAAATCATTTGTAACATTTGTGTTGGAGAATGGCTGCTAAATCATTTGTAACATTTGTGTTGGAGAATGGCTGCTAAATCATTTGTAACATTTGTGTTAGAGAATGGCTGCTAAATCATTTGTAACACTTGGGTTGGAGAATGGCTGCTGAATCATTTGTAACATTTGTGTTGGAGAATGGCTGCTGAATCATTTGTAACATTTGTGTTGGAGAATGGCTGCTAAATCATTTGTAACATTTGTGTTGGAGAATGGCTGCTGAATCATTTGTAACAATTGTGTTGGAGAGTGGCTGCTAAATCATTTGTAACATTTGTGTTGGAGAATGGCTGCTAAATCATTTGTAACATTTGTGTTAGAGAATGGCTGCTAAATCATTTGTAACATTTGTGTTGTAAAGTGGCTGCTAAATCATTTGTAACATTTGTGTTGGAGAGTGGCTGCTAAATCATTTGCAACATTTGTGTTGGAGAATGGCTGCTAAATCATTTGTAACATTTGTGTTGAGAATGGCTGCTGAATCATTTGTAACATTTGTGTTGGAGAATGGCTGCTGAATCATTTGTAACATTTGTGTTGGCGAATGGCTGCTGAATCATTTGTAACATTTGTGTTGGAGAATGGCTGCTGAATCATTTGTAACATTTGTGTTGGAGAATGGCTGCTGAATCATTTGTAACATTTGTGTTGGAGAATGGCTGCTGAATCATTTGTAACATTTGTGTTGGCGAATGGCTGCTGAATCATTTGTAACATTTGTGTTGGAGAATGGCTGCCTAATCATTTGTAACATTTGTGTTGGAGAATGACTGCTAAATCATTTGTAAGATTTGTGTTGGAGAATGACTGCTAAATCATTTGTGACATTTGTCAGCACTTGATGGGTGATGTGGACTCAGCAGCACACTGGCCGCTCTTACTTCCCAGGTCATTTCCTGGTACCCCTATAAGGTTGGGTGGTCATGATGGCTATGGCCAGCTGCGCAAAATTTGACTTGATGTGGATTCAGATCCGAGACTTTGTCAACTAATGTGTAAGTTTATCTTGTCTTAAAATTGCCACTATCCTTATGTGAGTTCCGGGACCCCATTTAGGGGGTTTTCCTTCTTAGTCGGAGTGCATCTGCCTGAGAGGCAAGGAACCAACAACCTGCATATATATAAATCAGGTTTTCAAAAACAGATTTGCGCGCATACCTCCCTGTTCTAAAACAAGATCAAACTCCAGAGGTTTGTAAATAACCAGGACTTTCCGCTGGAGTTTACAGCTGGTGAACATGAAGAAGGGGAAAAAAACCAAAAACAGAATAAATGGCTGCTAAATAATGTGTTTGAAGCTTGATGAAATAAAATCTGTCCCAAAATTATACAAAAGGTATAATAACAAATTTTGGAGAATTAAACAAAGTAAATGTTAGTTAGGAAGCATGCACACAAGGTTTTCAGAAGAAATCAACATAGGCATTTAGACAGTAATCCTACGACATGGGGGGGATTTCAGATACTGTTAAAGGAGGACTTTGGGTATTCATTGAACCAGTCAGCCACTGTTGTCATGACATCTGTGTCAGCATAGAATCTTTGTCCTTAACCAGGGCTGTTGAAGTTGGTATTTTCATACAAATTTGGTGCTATTTGTCCCTTGCTGTCCAAAACTACTTTTCATACCATGCCACATGTTTTGGTACATTTTAAAAATTTGCATCAATATTTTAAATTCTGGCATATTATGCGGGATTTAACAAGTGTTTCTGAAGGAAGACTGACCTGAATTATTCCATTAGCCGTGAAATTTTATTGAATTGTTAAAGAAATAACATCATGAACATGTAAGATTCCATCAGCGTTAAAATGTATGATAAGTCTTTTGGCATTATCTCTTTCCTCTGCATGGAAAAGAGAAAAGGATCATACCCAGTGTCTCGCCTAATAGGTCTTTGTGAAAGGGAACTAATTAGGGGTGTTAATTTGCCTGAGAGGCAATGAAACAACAGTCTGGGTATTCATAAGCCAGATCTGTAAAACGGATGTGCACACAAAACTCAAGTTCTAGAACAAGTTCAAAGTCCTGAAGCAGACAAAGAACCAGAGCTAGTTGCCAAAGTTTACAGCCGGTGAACGCTAAGAAGAAATATACATTTTAGGCCTTTATGTGAAGAGATAAATATCATGGTGACCCCCTTTATTCTCCAGACAGTATCTTGGTACCCATTTTAGACTAGGTTGACCTCAGAGCCCAAGTCAGTGAAGACATTTCTTTTGATGCAGATTTGGACACTCAACCTTTCCATTAAAAGTCAGAGTAGATCTGACAAAGTGACAAGGAACAGTATACTGCATGCAAAAAAAAAAAAAAAAAACCCAGTCAAATGGATGCACATACAAAACTCAGATCTTAGCAAATTGTCAAAGTCCAAATAGATGAAAAACTAGGACTTTCTGATGGAGTTCATAGCCAGTGAACACAAAGAAGAAGAAAAAAAAGAAGAAGAAGACATGCCTAAAAGGTCATCAGACAAGTGTTCTTGCTACTACACCACAGCTGGGTCCATCCAGATATGCGCAAAATAACAGAAATGTTGGATTGACAAAAGAGTAAAAGAAGAAAAAGTAAAGAAAGAAGATAAACATTATAAGAATCTATGCAAAAATGAATAAACAACACAAATATTGGATGGACAAAAGAAAAATAGAAGCATAAAAAGAGAGAAGGAAGAAGAGATAGAAGAAAGTACACAAGATGATGATTTTCTTCAAAACTTCATATACTGTGCTACAGCAGCTTTCCAGCAACAACAATGTTGGAGGGAAGAAGGAGAAAAAAAAATAATAAAGAAGGGAAGAGGAGTAAGAAGATAAAAGTGAACTAGGTAACAGCTGTTTATTCAGAACATGAGATACTGACATTCCTGTTGTGTGTGTGTGCATGTCTACATGCGTGCGTGCATGCATGCATGTGCTTGTGTGTTTAAAAAAAAAATTCAAGTAGATTTTTCTGTCATTAGGATTACTTACAGTCTGATGTTTCACATTTGCCAGGGCACTCACTGAACAATGAAAATTGATTTTTTCTTTTGACAGATGGTGTCACTGTGGTGTTGTACAAAGTTTTCCAAGCTTACAATATCATGGATGAAGTCGGCTCTGCAGATGTATGTTTTCTTTGTTTGTTTTTGATTTTGTTTGTTAATTACAAATATTGTGACAATTATCTCACATGCACGCACGCAGGCGCGCGCACACACACACGCATGCACGCACACACACACACACACACTTACTTACTTATATAAAAGTCTATAAGTATATAAGAAGATCAAAGTCTTTATTCTTTTATTCTTGTTATTGTCTAGATGCATCTTCATGTAGACAGCTTTCTCTGCTGCTGTGAATAATTTCAGAACAGTTAATAAAGCAGGGAATAGTTTTGAGTAAAATTCAAGTGCAGTCGGTGTTGGGCACACACGAGCTGAGGGAGATGGGAGCCCATGTTGTAGTCACATGTTTGTAGCATGAAATTCAAGGACTAAAACACCTACTAGCCACTAACGAGATCTTCTGTCAAGTGGAGAAAATACTAATGAACAGAAACATAGAAACCTCAGGGGTGTAACTCTTCTTTTTTTTTTGGGACTGATATATTAATAGGTCTGCCATAGTTTTAGCAAATATATACTTGAGCATGTTCAACTTTATTTTACTAATATTGAGCCATGTGCACATGTTCACTGGCACCTGAGACAACAGATCACATTCTCCAAGACATCCCAAATATGTTTCCAGGCAAAACTTCTACCAAGAGAGACACTGACAGAAGCCAAACTTTACGGGCTGCTAAGTGAATTACAAAAGATAGTGAAGTTTATACTAGAGACAGCATTACAGATAAAGATAATTTATTTCAAGAGAACAAAAGAAGGAGAGGAAGAACTTATATTGATACTTATAGATAAAGGCACCTTTGACAGTTACACCTCAACTACTTCTTTCAGATCGTGTTACATGGTTGTCTTGCTTGTATTTTACTGCTGCTTCAGATTGGTCTAGGTCTAATCAAGTTCTTTGTTGTTTGCTTGGGTGGATTACTGCTGGGTGTGGCATCAGGACTAGCTACTGCAATTCTCACAAAATTTTCTTCTCATGTTAAAGGTAGGTAAATCAAAAAGATTTAATCATTTTGTGTTCACCTGTTGTCTACCTTGCTGAATATGCCGTGTTTTATCACATATGGTGTATACCAGACTTGACCTGCAGCATTGTGACAACAGCTACAAGCGAAGGAGAGCTCTAGGGAGGATACTAGCCTTATTCTAAGAAGAGATATTGCAGTCTGAAATTTTTAGATTTTAATTTTTTTATTCACTGGGATATACCAATGTGTTGGGGAATGAACAGGTGGACAGACTTGCTGGCTCTGCACAACTTGGTGGAATACTGATGCATGATAGGGCAGATGGGGTTAGTGCCTTGTGGAAGAGTGCGTACAGTCAGAGAAAACAGATGGATCACCACAGTCTGGTGAGATTGATGCAGCGGGGAGTGACTAGAGGTTCTGGCAGATGCTCAAGTCTCAGAGGAAAGGCAAGTCGGACGTTTAATCAGAATGCTATTGGCACCATTAGTATCGGAACTCTTCACTGGCTGTTGAAGATGGAAACGGAGCGTTTATGGGAATGCCCCGAGTGCTGTGATGTCGGTTCTTGAATCAACTCAACTCAACTCTGAAAACCTAATGTTATGACAAGGCAGACCAGATGCTTAGCCTTGGTAGGCAGCTGATCTAGGAGGCAAGCTTCAGCAGAGCTCTGCAGTTCTGATCTGGCAAATTCTGCAGCATGCTTTGTTCCATACGTATTGGTGTAACCTTTCCTTTGAAGTAAACAAGGTAGGGATCAAGCTGCATGGGCATCTGAAGGTCTCTTTAATACTGCTGTTGAATGACATCAATATAAAGTAAGTCACACCAAGTGTTCGGGGTGTGCCACTCATTCCTCTCACACACTAGAACTCCCTCGTTGATGACACTATTTGATTCCTTACAGAAGACAGACTGGCACTACAGGAGCAAGAGTCCAACACACAACTGCCAATATGAACAGCATGGCGAACAGTCATAAAGTTTATTACATCACAGTACACGTCATGGCATGAAATATGTTGAAGTTGAATACAAACTCGTCATGCCATATGACCAAATAGTAAACAGCCATTTTAAAAATCCTGAAAATTTGACAATGTTCTGTTGTCCAGACTTGACTGCAGCAGTGGATTGCAGAGTGTTGCTCTTCTGTTTGCAGGTACACACAATCTAGCAGCATAGTTAATGCTGCCTCTGACACAGTGTGTAGCCTGGTTATAATTTCGATGGTGGTCTCTGACACAGCGGGTAGCCTGGTCAGAAAGGCCATGAGTAGTTAGCAACAGTTTGGTGAATAATGTAGCATCTGGCAGCAAAACAAAATTTAATTACTCATGCAGATGCTTTACTAATATCCTACCCCAAGCAGGGGAAATCCACAGGTCACGGAACAGTCTAATATTTCAGGGGTAGATAGGCTGCATGTAGTCGTTGGACCTAGGCTACATGCAGCCGTGGGACCTAGGCTGCACTGTCTTGTGGAATGTAGGTGGGTTGGGATTAGGGCCAGTTCTAGATGTTTTGGGGTCATTAAAAGCATCGGAAAGTCAGGAAAACCAGTCTTACCACCCTCTAAAATGTTGGACTGTCCTGTGACGTCATCTGGGGTAAGATTTTAAAAGAAGAACCCTCATACAATCTTAATACAGGAATTAATAACATAATTACCTGCTACACCAGCTGAGAAATACTAAACTAAAAATTTTAAATTTTAATTTCAAATCAGTACTATTGTATGGGGCGGAAACATGGAAAACAATCAAGGCAATTACTAATAAATAACAGACATTTTATTAACTGGTGCCTGCGCAGAATAGAGGGAATTAAATGGTAAGATAGAATAACTAATGTAGAGCTTTGGGAGAGAACTAAACAGGCTCTAGTGGACCAAGAGGTGAGGAAAAAAAAAGATGCTGGTGGATAGGACACACACTGAGAAAACAGGAGAACAGCGTAACTAGAATGTCTTTACATAGGAATAAAGGAAGACCAAAAAACACAAGAAAAAGAAGAAACCAGCTGCTAATTCTGTTCATACTGACAGAGTCCTTGGTATAGCGGCTCGTTTCTGATTGAGGGCCCTTGCTCCATTGGGGGATAGAAAGGCAGAAGAAGACACCAGTTGCTAATTCTGTTTATCTGACAATCCTTGGTATAAATAAATGGGCTCGTTTCTGATTTCTTTGTTCCTATCTATAAGTCCTGATTGTTGATTTTTTGTTTTGTGTGTATGAAGTCTTTAGTACATTGTGATTTTTATATGATTCCAACAGTGGCTCAGCCAATTATTATATTCACAATGGCTTACTTTGGATTTCTCCTGGCTGAATTATTTGAGTTCTCAGGGATCATTAGGTAAGTAAAAGCCACGTTTGTTTTTAAGTGGGGTTGAGTTGAGTTGAGTCAAGAATTGGCATCACAGCACTCGGGGCATTTCCATGTTTGCTCTGTCCTCATCTTTAGCAGCCAGCGCAGAGTTCCAATACTGATGGTACAGGTCACAATCTGGTTATATGTCCGTCTACATGTCCCCCAGTCTAGCCTCGGTCCCCTGAGTGTAGTGCCATAAAATCTTGTTCTCTACTGACCCCGTGCTTGTACCCACCCCAACGTGATAAGTTTGCCACGACCTAAATTGGATTTAGATGGCAGGGATAATTTCTTAGGATTCATGTTGTTCTGTAGCATAGAGCAGGGATAATTTCTTAGGATTCATGTTGTTCTGTAGCATAGAGCAGGGATAATTTCTTAGGATTCATGTTGTTCTGTAGCATAGAGCAGGGATAATTTCTTAGGATTCATGTTGTTCTGTAGCATAGAGCAGGGATAATAATTTGTTCTGTAGGATTCATGTTGTTCATGCTGTTCTGTAGCATAGAGCAGGGATAATTTCTTAGGATTCATGTTGTTCTGTAGCATAGAGCAGGGATAATTTCTTAGGATTCATGTTGTTCTGTAGCATAGAGCAGGGATAATTTCTTAGGATTCATGCTGTTCTGTAGCATAGAGCAGGGATAATTTCTTAGGATTCATGTTGTTCTGTAGCATAGAGCAGGGATAATTTCTTAGGATTCATGTTGTTCTGTAGCATAGAGCAGGGGATAATTTCTTAGGATTCATGTGTTCTGTAGCATAGAGCAGGGATAATTTCTAGGATTCATGTTGTTCTGTAGCATAGAGCAGGGATAATTTCTTAGGATTCATGTTGTTCTGTAGCATAGAGCAGGATAATTTCTTAGGATTCATGTTTCTTAGGATAGAGCAGGGATTTCTTATTTGTTCATGGATGTAGTAGCATAGAGCAGGGATAATTTCTTAGGATTCATGCTGTTCTGTAGCATAGAGCAGGGATAATTTCTTAGGATTCATGCTGTTCTGTAGCATAGAGCAGGGATAATTTCTTAGGATTCATGTTGTTCTGTAGCATAGAGCAGGGATAATTTCTTAGGATTCATGTTGTTCTGTAGCATAGAGCAGGGATAATTTCTTAGGATTCATGTTGTTCTGTAGCATAGAGCAGGGATAATTTCTTAGGATTCATGTTGTTCTGTAGCATAGAGCAGGGATAATTTCTTAGGATTCATGTTGTTCTGTAGCATAGAGCAGGGATAATTTCTTAGGATTCATGCTGTTCTGTAGCATAGAGCAGGGATAATTTCTTAGGATTCATGCTGTTCTGTAGCATAGAGCAGGGATAATTTCTTAGGATTCATGCTGTGCTGTTTTCTGTAGCATAGAGCAGAGGGATAATTTCTTAGGATTCATGATTCTGTAGCATTGCAGGATAAGTTTGTAGGATATGAGTTCTGTAGCATAGAGCAGGGATAATTTCTTAGGATTCATGCTGTTATGTAGCTTAGAGCAGGGATAATTTCTTAGGATTCATGTTGTTCTGTAGCATAGAGCAAGGTTACATTTCTTAGTATTCATGCTGTTCTGTAGCATAGAGCAGGGATAATTTTGTAGGATTCATGCTGTTCTGTAGCATAGAGCAGGATAGATTTCGTTAGGATTCATGTTGTTCTGTAGCTTAGAGCAGGAACCCCGCTTAGGATCAGAGGTTCAAAATTTTGAAAGGGATAATTGAGCCAGGATTCATGCCTCTGTAGCATAGAAAGATCATTTAGCAATACAACTGGCAGTATAACATAGGCCACTCACTAGGCCTCTGCTGGCAGGCCAGATTTGGTCCACGGGCCGGCCGCTGGTTTATTAGTCCTGCCTTAGAGGTCGTTGACATCTTAACATTATTGGTAAAATAGGATTGACGTCATTCTGCACATTGGAGAGAATAATTCTTAGAACTCTGTTGTTCACCTCTTGAGACTCCGGGTTTGAGCAGGGATAATTTCTCAGGAGATTAAGTAGGATACATGTTAACCATCTGTTTGAGGAGACGGAGCAAATTTGGGCTTGCCCTGAATTGTGTGGCATGAGTCAGGGAGAACCAGGACATCATTGATCAGCATAGAGCTTGATTTCACAGATTGTAGTTGTCCTCTGTACATTTCCAGGATAGACTTATTTTATTTTTAAAGTTAACAACAATCACAATGAGAACAGATTACTCACACACACTCACACACACTCAGAGGACAGACACAAGTGTATTCACACAGTCTAACTTAATTTGAGAAGACCACACACACAGACAGATACACACACACACACACGCAGATATACACACACACGCAGGCATGCTCTCATGCACGTCACATATCATATATACACACACACACCAGCATATATATATATATATATATACATATATATGTAATCAATATCATACATACTCATATATATATATATATTATAGACCATTTGTACACACTATTGGAATAGACCATTTGTAGCATGAAGATATTGGAATAGACCATTTGTAGCATGAAGATATTGGAATAGACCACACACTAGCATGAAGATATTGGAATAGACAGCTTCCAATAGCATGAATGATGATATTGGAATAGACCATTTGTAGCATGAAGATATTGGAATAGACCATTTGTAGCATGTAGATATTGGAATAGACCATTTGTAGCATGTAGATATTGGAATAGACCATTTGTAGCATGTAGATATTGGAATAGACCATTTGTAGCATGTAGATATTTGAATAGATCATTTGTAGCATGTAGATATTGGAATAGACCATTTGTAGCATGAAGATATTGGAATAGATCATTTGTAGCATGAAGATATTGGAATAGACCATTTGTAGCATGAAGATATTGGAATAGACCATTTGTAGCATGAAGATATTGGAATAGACCATTTGTAGCATGAAGATATTGGAATAGACCATTTGTAGCATGAAGATATTGGAATAGACCATTTGTAGCATGAAGATATTGGAATAGACCATTTGTAGCATGTAGATATTGGAATAGATCATTTGTAGCATGTAGATATTGGAATAGATCATTTGTAGCATGTAGATATTGGAATAGATCATTTGTAGCATGTAGATATTGGAATAGACCATTTGTAGCATGTAGATATTGGAATAGACCATTTGTAGCATGTACTCTCTTCAAAACTGTGATGTACGGTCACTGTTTAATTCCAGCATCATTGGCTGTGGACTGACACAGATGCACTATGCCTTCCATAACATCAGTGATAAATCCAGAACTACCATCATGTACTTTACTAAAGTCATCAGGTAATTTACGCTCTTTACATTTGTTTGTATTCACAGTCGTGTGCAAACTTTTTGTCTGGCCTTGTTTGTGTACTTTTCTTCTATCTATTCATCTTCTTTACCACTGTACTTTTCTCTGTGGCATAGAGGTCAGTTGAATCATTTTTCACAATGTAATCTTTGGTGTTTGAAACTGTCCTAAAGTTATGAGGTAATTTATTTATGTTCAAAGAAGATTACTCCTGTACTTCTCCTTGTTATATCTTTCTCTTCTTTCTTGCTCCTCTTCTTGACGCGATCACTTTACAGCAGTACTTCAGAAGTTATTATTTCTTTTCTATTTTTCATCTTATTCTTCTCTTTTTCACCCTACCCTTCCCTGGCTCTATCTTCTTCCCTTTCTTGTCTTCATTCAGATTCTTGTCTTCCTCATGATATTGGTCTTTTTGTTTTTAACCTTTTCTTCTTTGGATCGCTTTACACTATTTTTCTCTCACTTCCTCATCCCCCCTGTCTTCCTCTTTCTCCAATTTTTACTCTTCTTTTTCTTCTCCTTCTTCTTCTCCTTCTTCTCTTTCTGCTCCTGCTCCTCCTTCTTCTTCTTCTTTTTTTTTGTTTAATTCATTTATTCTTTCCTACGGCTCATGCCCTGAAGTGTCACTGAGAGGAGTTGGATGTAGTTTCTTGTCTTTTCCTAGTTGCACAGCTTGTGCTAATGTTATACTGTGTTTCTGTAGTGTCTCTTTTACTCCATTCACCGGTGTCTTTCTTGGTCAGCCTCTTGCCTTGTAGTTTGTTGTTCTCATATGGTACGCTTTAGCTGCTGGCTGATTTTGTTCCATTGTCACCAGTTGACCAAACCAGTTTTCACACCATCCTAATATTTAAAAAAAAAAAAAAATGTACATTAACACTTTTGCCCCAGTAACTCTTTAAATATATTTAAAAATAATAAAAAAAAAATCATGACCCAGTTAGAATTCCAGAAAATAATCCTTAAAAATGTTTCTTGACACAGGTCACTAGTAAATTAATTAAGAATGAGTTTATCTACATTTAGAATGTTTCAAAATATGTAAAGATATCTGAAAGAAGTAAACAATAAACATGATCAGGGTGAATTATTGAATGGAATACATCCCCCAGTGCCTGGAATAAATCCTGCATGTATTGGGTGACTCAAGCCATGACCTGTATCACCAAGGCTTACAGAAAACTCCGACGAAACACCTGCTCCCCCCTTCGCCCCAAAAAACCCCACATAATGAGTTAATTTCTTGACCATACTTGGCTCCACCCAAGGAGACATCATAAAAGTCAATGAGAAACCTACAAGGTATTCAAGATATAAACAGCAGGCTTGAAATGTATGTCTACCTCAAAATCACTGAGGTCTTAGCACACCCACTGCATGATGAACTAAGTACACGTAAAGGCAACAGACTTCACTCTTTAAGACCCAAGCATCGGTGTGAGCGTTGATTGAGAAGTTCCGTTTTGCCCAAACAATGCTGTCGTCGTCGATCGTGTGTCCCGTACATATTGCTTCGCACACTGCTCCGTACTTGTTTCTAACGTTGCGAACAATGATTAAAGTATGCAGAGAAAGTCAGTCTAAATCCTGACTTCCTAAACGTTGCAGGCATGAAAACAGCCAGTAGCATTAATTATTCGAATTGAAAATAGGCTGCCATAGGCAAAAGGAAAAAGGGTAAATGTTTGATATTTCATTTTAGCCAGTGACATCATAATATTCTTTTTTGACTAATCAGTTGATGTTTCAGTTTAGCCAGTGACATCATAATCTTCTTATTTGACTTATCAGTTGATATTTCAGTTTAGCCAGTGACATCATAATCTTCTTATTTGACTTATCAGTTGATATGTCAGTTTAGCCATTGACATCATAATCTTCTTATTTGACTTATCAGTTGATGTTTCATTTTAGCAAATGAAATCATTATATGTTTGATTTTGACTGATTAATTCATATTTTAGTTACACCAGTGTCATATTTTCTAATTAGTTGTATTGACTAATATTTCAGTTCAGCCAACGAAATCATCATCTTCTTGTTTCTGGGCTTGTCTCTGGTCAATGACGATCATGATTGGCACACAGGGTTTACATTGTGGACGATATTCTTTTGTTTAGTCTACAGATTCATCAGTAAGTGTGTCTGCTATAATAAGACTAGGACTGGAACCATTTATACATTTCATGTAAGAATTGTATGGTATTTAAAGAGCAGCGAATGAGATGGTTTGGCCTTCTGACAGCAATGCTTTGGTATCAGCTGCCACAGAGAGCATTGTTAAAGAAATATAATGGACACAGAGCAGGGGAAAGATGGAATGAGAGCATCAAGAACAACCAGGCTCACATATGCATTAGAGCAAACAGATGATACTTACTTTTCTCAACTCCGGACTTCTCCCAACACTTCAGAGGTAATTGAAGGAACAAAATAAAGAAGACCAAAAAAGACATCCAATAGATTCATCAAAGAAAGTCCCATAACACTGCCTGTCCTGGTCTTTGTGTTTTCTTTTCAAGTTTGGACATTAACATACACTTTTCACAACTGTACATGAAGGTTCTGATAGCTAGTGTTCTAAGCAAGTTTATATTGAATGCATTATTTTATTTAAAATATTACTGCATTTTATATTTCTTTTAAGGGATAGATACCAGATGAAGTGAGATACATATTTATTGCTCTAGAGGTAGACAAAATAATCAAAGGTTATGGAAAGCAAACCTGAAAAACAGTGCTTTTCAACATCAAATGTACTGTCAATTTGACAGATTAGTGCAACATTACATGCTTTATGTTGACGATAATGTAATTTTGTAACTTGTTCGTGATGTTTGCCTTGCACACATTTTGCTTGGTATCTGTTTATCCTTATTTGAGTGGGTTAGGTATCTGATCACACTACCCCATAGATCAGGGAGATATAAATTTAGAAACCAATTTTCCCAGGCATATGTGTAACCTACCATGCATGTCAGAAAAGACCGGCTACCTCATATCATAATAAACAGTTTTGTCTCCTTTTTCTTCTCTTCCTCCTCCTTGTCCTCCACCTTTTTCTTCTTCTTCTTCTTCTTTTTCTTCTTCTCCTCCTCCTCCTCCTCCTTCTCCAGCTTCTTCTTCTCCTCCTCCTTTTTCTCCTCCTGCTCTTCGTCCTGCTTCTCCTTCTTCTTTTATACTTGTTCTTAAAAGGACGGCTGACTCATTATTTTGTGGTTTACACTTGAGCTATGAGATCTAGGTCTTTTGGCCTAGCATATCCGATTTCCTCCCCCCTACCCCCTAGCATTGGCAAACTACTGGACGTAAATTTGCCTAGAGAAACCACACAACAGCCAGGGGCTGTTGGGGTTGGTTCTGCAACGTCCTGTAAAGGATACGCAACTAACCTACCCCCCCTCCCCCCCCCCAACAAAATAAAAAAAAATGGGGCCCTGGATCCAAACAGGGAAATATTTGCTGAAAAATGCACCCAGTCATGAACAAGCCTACAAAGGGTGGGAGTTGGCTGAGGGCCTGTGCTTCTTTGGGAGAAGAAAGGCTGTTAAAGGTGCTGAAACATTGGCAAGTCTTTATAAACTTTGAAGGTCTATAGACACTTAAAAGGTTTTTAGAACCTTGGAAAATCTGTAGAAATATTTGAAAATTTTTTAGAAACCTATCATTTTTATAAAATATCATGGCCATAACGCATATAGTGAACCTCAACAAGGTCAATAGAACATGCCGTATTTTATAATCTTAACTGTCATTTAATCTGCTTTTTAAGATCTATACACTGCATATTTTTTTTCCATTTGAGTAACATTGTATTTTTTTTTTTACCCCAGTAATTTTTGGAATGTCCTACGCCATAAATTGGTTGGATATTTACAGAGTAAGGAAGATCAGTCTACATGAACAGTTTATGATTGTGAGTAGGTTTATTGTGTTTGTTCCTGATTGTTATTTTGTACGACTCATTCGTGGTTGTGTTTTCTTGCTTGTGAATAGGATTGTTCTGTGTTCCTGATTGTCTCTGATTGTGAATAGATTTGTTCCTGTTTGTTCATGATAGTAAGTTTGTTCTACTCATTCATAGTTGTGTTTTCAGGCTTGTATTTGTTCTAGATTGGTAGAATATTTATTCAGAATGTTCATGATTGAGTGTGTTTAATTGTTGGCATGTATTTTGAAAAAGTCAGCGAAGGAGAAGGCATAATAATAGTAGTAGAAGAATATCATGAAGCTGCAGGGAGTGGAGCAAGAAAATTAAAAGACTGAGGATTGAAAAAAAGAAGGAAATTGAAGTGGTACATTTAGTTCAGTATTTATAAAGCAGGGAGAATATGGGTGAATTGTACACTCTTTCTTCTAGTCAATATGGCGGATAGGGGTGACATTTTTCTCAATTTTTAGACTGAGTTGAGTGCATGGTGCGACACTGTGAGTGCGGATTTCATTTAGAATGCTTTTCGGCCTTGCCCAGCATGTTGTGAATTGCAGATTCATTCACAAAATGGCGAGTGGACTGTTTGCACAGAACGGGTGGTGTCTTCGGCTATTAATTGTGTATGCTTCTGATCTGGTGCACTGCTGCTTCCGTCAACAGTGAACGGCATTTCTAGTGTCAGACTGTTTGTGTTGGCACTTCCGATGACTGCCTTATGCATTTAATGCATGCTTGTGCTTGTAGCTTTACTGATACTGCAGTCTGTGAAAATGTTTCACCAGGGACAGTGAGGGACATTCTGTGTAGTTTCCATTGGCACAAGGATGGGAGCAACTATGTGTTGAACCATTTGCTGTGATGTTGGAACTGTGGTCATCTGTAAACCTGGCACATAGTGACAAAGAATAGGAAAATTTATTTGAGTTCCTATGTTCCAATAGTGGTTTTTAAGCAGAGGGAAGAAGAAGAAGAGGAAGTGGAGCAGAGGTAAGAAGAGGAGGAGAAGAAGAAGAGGAAGAGATGGTGAGGGGAAGAAGAATAAGAGCAAGAGAAGGTAGAGATGGGGGAGGGGTGGGGGAGAAGAAAAAGAAGAAGAAGCAGAAGAGGCACCGAATGAAGAAGAGGTGAAGAAGAAGGAAGAGAGAGAGAGACAATGAAGTTAAAGAGGGAGTGGGAACAAAAAATATAAACATTGTTGAAGTGATACAGTTGAATCAGTATGTTTCTCTGGCCTATCTAGGCATATGGAGGACTTAGAGGTGCGGTCTGTTTCTCACTGGTGGCCTTGCTGAATCCCCATGACCTGCCTACCAAAGACATGTTTGTGACGACAACCTTGGCTGTCATTGTGTTTACAGTCTTTGTTCAGGTGAGTTCTCTGGTTGAAATTTAGTCTCTCACAAAATCTACATCGTTTCTCTGTGTGCTTGTTTTGTATTAATGCCTTGTGCATTAATATTACATACATATCGCCAACTAGTCATGACTTACTACTTCCATCAATGACAGATTGCAATTTTGGTGGTGACTATTGGTTTTGACACCTAGTTACTGCCTTATGCATTTTCTACATGTGTATGCTTCTAGATTTTTGCCTGGGCAAATAGTTTGTTCACTAGTTATCATTAAGGACAGCAACAAGCATTTTGTGTGATTTTCACTGGCCCACAAATGGAGCAATTCCGGGGTTATCCCTTTGCAGTGCAGTTGACTGTCCCTAGTCTAGCTGTACACTCATGGGTCTTCTCTTCTACACTAGAAGTTAGGAGGGAAAAGGTGTTCCGGTCTCCTAAACCTCACACAGACACGTAGAAATACTCTCACTGTGATTAGTTTGTCTCATTTTATCACTCCAGTTCTATCTCTGATCCTCCAGTCTCATGTCTCCAGTTTCTCTGTCTGTCTCTGTCTCCTCTTTCTCTTTTTGCTCTCCTTCTATCACACAAACACACACACATGCATGCACGCGCACACACACACACATGCATACTACATCCGACACATTTAAGCATGCACATTCATACATACACACTCAAACATACACATGCACACACAAGCGTATACATGCAGAGATACATATACTCAAATCATATGTACAGATACGCTTAGGCATACACGCTCATACATACATAAACAATCTCATATGTACACATAAATTTGCATGCACAGACACATACACACATACTTATACATATGTATGTATGCACGCATTGATCACCATGAATATTTCAACTCTTTTGGACCCAGAGTATTGTTACTGAAAAAACAAATTTTAATTGTAGTGGTAATAATGGCTGTCTTTATCATCATCATATGTCATGCTGATAAGCATTGGCTGTGATATTTTGCGATCTCACATGATTACCATAATCATGGATCAGCTCAGTGTTCTTGTCTTACCCCATCCTTATGACTAATCGATCCATGTATTTATATCTTTGCCTTCCTCTTGCTCTCCTTCCATCAGTTTTTCCAGTTGTTACCACTTTCTGAAGTCTTTTCCTTCTCATAACATGTCCGAAAAACACTGTCTACGTCAGTGATTCCCAAACTGTGCACCGCAACACCCTGGGGAGCCGCGACCTCTTCACAGGGCCGCTGCAAAATATTTGAAGATACACAAGTTTTTTTTTAAAAATCTCTTGCATACGAATAGTCGTACTTTTATTTTGGTTAGGGCGCCATGGAAACATTATAATTGAAAAATGCGCAGTGACTAAGACAAGGTTGGGAAACACTGGTCTACGTCTACTGTCTATGTCTACTGCCTACATCTACTGTTTACATGTACTGTCTACATCTACTGTCTACGTGTACTGTTTGTCTACTGTCTACATCTACTTTCTACATCTACTTTCTACATCTACTGTCTACATCTACTGTCTCTGTCTACTGTCTACATGTACTGTCTACGTCTACTGTCTACATGTACTGTCTACGTCTACTGTCTACGTCTACTGTTTATGTCTACTGTCTACGTCTGCTGTCTACATCTAATATTTCAAATCATTTTATGGCTTTATTTGATTTGAGGTGGATTGCCTCATGTGTTTTTCTGTCATTCCATGCTATTCTTTGCTGCCTTTAAAAAAAAAAAAAAACCATGGCGAGTAAATCTACAAGTTATTATTGTGCTTCTGCAATCATTAACAATTGTAATAGTCCAACCTTTGTGTTCCTGATCAGGGCATAACCATCAAGCCCCTGGTATACCTTCTTCAGATCAGTCTGGCCCCAGAGAGGTCCCCCACCATGTACAAGGAGCTCAACTCACACGTAAGAATCCATTCTTTGGACAGGGTCTTGGGTGTAAAAGAGTTGAGGGCAGCACAGTTGTGTGTAGTAAAGTATGTGGAGGGCAGCACAGTTGTACAAAGTAAAGTAGTAACGTACCCTTTTGGGGGTATAGAAGAGTGGAGGGCAGCACAGTTGTACAAAGTAAAGTAGTAATGTAACCTTTTGGGGTATAAAAGAGTGCAGGGCAGCACAGTTGTACAAAGTAAAGTAGTAACGTAACCTTTTGGGGTATAAAAGTGTGCAGGGCAGCACAGTTGTACAAAGTAAAGTAGTAACGTACCCTTTTGGGGGTATAGAAGATTGGAGGGCAGCACAGTTGTACAAAGTAAAGTAGTAAAGTACCCTTTTGGGGTATAAAAGAGTGCAGGGCAGCACAGTTGTACAAAGTAAAGTAGTAAAGTACCCTTTTGGGGTATACAAGAGTGCAGGGCAGCACAGCTGTACAAAGTAAAGTAGTAAAGTACCCTTTTGGGGGAAGAGACGAGTAGAGAGCAACACACGTGTACAAAGTAAAGAAGTAGCATACCCTTTTGGGGGTAGAGAAAAGTAGAGGGCATATACGATTTAAAAGTCTAATTATTAGGGTAACACAATCCTTGTTAATAGTGCTTGGTATTTTCCTTTTGGCCTCTTTTTTAATCACACTTTTTTTAAAATTGGGCAGCACTACCTGAAAAAGATTGAAAATGACTGAGCTACACCTGTGCGGCTACCATGTCTGTTATTTGTTTGTGGAGTAGCATAGATCTGTTAACCCTTTCATCCTGGTTACCTAGAAATAACAGTGCCACAATCCTATAATTTTAGAATTTCAGGTTTAAAAAAAAAATTGTTTGAAAGATATATATATATATATATATATATATATATATATACTAGCTGTACCCGGCCACGCGTTGCTGTGGCATAGTTTGGCTGAATTGAAAAGAAAGAAAATAGAAATCTTGCTTTGTACATCGAAGTAGTCGGAAAAATTACCCAAGTGAAAAGCTATGAAAACAGGAAAAATACACAATAATCACGAAATGATTGCTATGGTAAACTGTATCAAGCGTGCGTTGCTACGGCTCTAATAGAAATTCAATTGAAAGGAAAGTCGATATAACAATATGTAGTATTTATATTGGATCATTGTGCTGTTTACAAATCCTTAGGAAAAAACAGGCAATTTAAAATGTAATTGTTCTTAGTTTTTCCGCCTGGTGCGTACACGAATAAATCAGTAGGTTTTCCGACGCTTGAACAGGCCACATATGGCTGTCCATGTGAAAAGCATGGATGTTCCAAATGTAGTCCACACAATTGTTCTGATTGTCCCTGTAATAAGTGGTTTTGTATTTCTACTCGTTGTCTAGGCAGTGTTTATGCGTGTGTGTTGGATGATATTCTCACACGCTCCACGTTACACAACTGGCACAAGCCGACACCGATGTGAGCTTACGAGACATGACTTTATTGACGTATTAACACTTACGAAAAACGAATAGTCCAGTTGGTGTCCTAGTGAACAGCTTTCGTACACAAACTCACGCAGCCTTCAACGAACAGTCTTCTGCAGGTATTCAAGCAACGATGGGTCCCATGGATTCAACATTGATGTTTGGACATCTCACACGCTGGCATGGTCGATCTCAGCTTAACACTTCGTCGGCAGGTCTCCTTTCTCCTCAGGCACTCACGTAGACATTCTCACATTCAGTCGCTCATCCTCTCACTCCAACAGGTCGACACAAACTAAACTTGACCAGAGTCAAGTCTGACTTATACCACGGGTTCGTTTCACGTGACAACACGTGGTGGTCCTTTACTTTTCCCGTGGCGACCTTGGGTCGCACCATCGTGGTCCCCGTGATAACTAGTGGTTAGTCACCTATCTCCAGATTCTCGTTTAATCCAAGTATCTGGACTATCTCGGTGTTTTCGGTCAGCTTTGGGCCTTCCCCCCAACTATCCTAAACTGAGTGGAAAATATCCCCCATTACAGTCCCTGTGATTTGTTGATGGTCATTGCTAAGGTGAGTCGCACCAGAAACTGCAAGCATCTGAAGTTGAATGGCATGTCTGTTGGAATTGCGTTGCAATAGTATATCCTGGCCCTTAAATGTTCATGTAAAATTGTACTTACGATGATATTGGGCACCATCTTTTTCACTGAAAGCCTGGTACCACTGCAAAGATGTGGCGGATTGATGTTTCTGAGAAGAATAACAGGCACGCCAACTTTCAAGGTTAAAACATGGGGTTGCTTGCATGGCAAATCAAGCGAATTAAAGAACTCAGTTGGATAATTGACAACCTCGTTTTGAATCATTACAGTATTGATAGACTTATACATTGTCACTCTGCCTGGTAATTTGTCTTAGATGTTCGGATTCATGGCATACACATCCTTGTTTTTAGCTGCTAAGATAGCACCTTCACTGAGCCACTGATGATTTATGTAATTCTGTGTGATATTAGGGAAAACTTCGTCCCATATAATGAGTTGACATACTTTGCGTACTTTACCCATTGCAAAATCATTGTTGCTTTTGCATGTTGGTGTCTCAGTGATATGCATATTTACAGGCAACTTCAGTGCTGAATGCGCTGTTTGGCCACCATCCAAAAGAGTTGCAGCAAATCCAGAAGATGTGATTGCCAGTGCAATATTATTTTTTTCCCAAAGCTCTTTTGAATTGAATGGAAAGCGAGGTGTTAATATTATTGCAAATAATGTGCGTATTTGCTGTGGTCGAGCAGTATTCGAAGCATCAGCGAGTGAAGTGTCCCAATGTGCATCATTGTCAAGAAGATTTAATTCTTGGCAAGCTTCACCGTAAGTAGCACATACTTTACCATAAACTGTTCTCAAGTCCTGGAAGGATGTCGGTCCCCGTTTGTTGATTAAAAGTAATCGCAAGTAAAAGCAATCTGCATTTTTGGGATGAACGGCCTAAAACATCAGTAGAATATAAAGTAGGAGCCAACCGCTTGACCTTGCTTGCAACATTGAAACTTATTAGCTGATCCATTCCATGTGTAGTATGTTGGCAGGTCAGAATAAAGTAGTGTCTTTGCAAACATATCATCTCTACACAATGAGAAAAATCAGTTAATGTGGTTGGCGGTGGTAACAATGCTCGTGCATGTGCATTTTCTGTAGTGAAGTACATGCGCTGTCCATTGTCAAGGTGCACTGCCAAATGAACAACTGCTGGATGTCGTTCATGAATTGGAAATGACAAAATGCGCCATACCGCTTCATTGCTACTAATGTAGCGCCCCAGCTGATATTGCTTGATTTCATCGATAGATGCAGCTGCATGTCCCACTCCAAAGACTGCCACATCGCCTCCTTTGTTGACATATTTGCAAATGTACTTATGTTTGCCAAGAAATGTGTCAACTGGCCTGTGTCACCTGCTACCAATGATGATAATGGTTCGGGTGGTGAATGTAATACTGGCAATTTAACTTTTCCACCAGCGCAGCAACAAAACCGGCGTGTCATTCTTAAATTTGAAGGCACTGCAATGTACGCACAATTATCCATTTTGCCAATAAGCACCTGTGGATGAAAACTGTAATCATAATTGCTGTTGTAATGGAATGCACCAAGATTGAAATCAACATGCAGTGTTCGCCTGGATAAAGTAGTGCGCATTCGAACGGTGTCCAGTCTTGCTTTCCGTTGCTCAACTGTGTCTGATAAACGGATTTGAGCAGTGCGTACTCTATTGGTTTCCAATCTTGCTTCTCGTTGCTCGTCTGACTGAGACGATCTGGCTTCAGCAGTGCGCACTCGGAACGTTTTCTAGTCTTGCTTTCCGTTGCTGGTCTGATTGAGATGAACGGGCTTCAGCAGTGCGCACTCGAATGGTCTCCAGTCTTACCTCACGTTGCTCGTCTGTTTCTGAAGCAATTAATGCCCTTCTCTTGCGTGTTTTAGGTGTAGATGGGTCAATCGCTTGTCGTTTGGGAGGCATAACTACAAATTTTGTGAGCGCTGATCATCAATAGCTTGTTCGTCATCACGCACTGAATGAAATGTGACTTGAAGTATACTGAAATAAATGAAAATTTGAGCATGAGTTAAAAATCTATTTTGACTCAAGAGGAAACTGGGCAGGGAATAGTAAGAAAAGACGGTATATGAGACAATATGAAAAAGCCAACAGATAATGTGCACACATTTATCATTGTGAGATTTAAGGAGTGGTCCACAAATGTATTTGAAGTTTAAAAAATGTACATAATGACTGACGGACCAATGTGTATACATTTATCATTGCTATATTTAAGAAGTGGTCCTCACTTGTTTGAAGTTAACAAAAACATTTACATAATGCATAATCATGACTGATGTCATATTTTTAGATTGTAACACTGACCTGAGACGGAATGTCGTGTAAATTTATATAATTCTTTTGAATAACAGAAGAAAGCCAACCAAAAATGTTGTACTACTTGTACTCATGAGTATGAGAAAGATGATAATGGTTAATGATAATGTGTATACATTTATCATTGCGGGATTTAAGAAGTGGTCCACACCTGTTATTTAAAGTAAACAAAAAAACGTACATACTGCCTACTAATGTTACTTAAATAAATGCGCTCACCTGTTTAGATATTTTTAGATTCTAACACTGACCTGAGACGGAATGTCAAATAAATTTATATAATTCTTTTGAATAACAATAACAGAAGAAAGCAAACCAAAAATGTATGTCGATATAGCCGTTTTCCTTGTAATTTTGGGGGGCGGATGTTGACGATAGAGCGTCACTACTGCGCATGCACGGTAAATCGAACGCACGTAACGTGGCTATAATTAGAAATCACTAAAATTATAAATATTAGTTTCAAATATTATGGCTTAAATTGTGGTCACCTATCTTTAACAGTGACAGGTTGAATTTCAAACCATGATGGTTCAACATCCGGTGTCAAAACAAACATATCCTGAAAATTTCAGCTAAATCGGTTCAGTAGTTTCCGAGTCTATAGGGGACAAACAAACACACAAACATTGATTTTTATATATATAGATAAAAAAAAAGTCATCTTTCACAACTCACGAAATAAAATTCATAAAAATTCAATTTTCAGGCATTAAAAAAAATTATTATACACTGCTGAAATCAGGTAATGATTGAAACCAAATGCAGCAGAGAATCAACTAGGTTACGTCTTTCTGAGGTTAATGAAATGTGACTGGGTGACTCATTTAAAAAAATGAAGCCATTTTATCACAAGAAAACACCCACAAATGCTATTTTTAGTAACTGTGGCCATCAATCAGCCTGTTAAACATGTGCAAATAGAATAGATGAATGGCTGGCCGAACAGTTAGAACAATGGGCTCTTAAGCAAGAGACCCGGGTTCGAATCCTTGGTAAGGCTGGAAATTTTTTCTGTTGGGGGCAAAATCAAATGCTCACCTGAACAGTCGTTGTGACAGCACTAGCCATTCAGCTGTAAATTCTCTGGCTGAAAGACTCCGCCCCGCCTACATCACAAAAGTGTAATAAAAGGCAGTAATTGGCATTTTTTTTTTTTTACAAACAGAATAAATGCTTTTAGCAAGGATTCTAATAAACAAGTCACTATAGCCATCCCAGTTAAGTGGCATTTACGAACACACGGCACATACTGGAAGTGCCCGTTATGGTGCTTTTTAAACAAAAAAATCAATCGTCGCTTATAAAGTTCTAATGTGGAAGAGTACAGGTTAATTCACTTCACTGAGCAGTGACCTAGTATATGTGCATTTGTTATGCATAAACACAGCAGGAGTGACCAGAAAAGAAAATCAAGAATGAGGTCATAAGAAAAAAGTTGGCACAAAACCAGTTCTAAATTACTTAAAAGGACCACAAATCTAATGGTTTTCCCACTTAAAGAGAATGCTTTGTGACGCCATACTATATAAGATACCATATAAGGCATTCACCAAAATAGGAGAATGATGTAGAGCACAGAGTAGACCAGAAACAAGATGGAAAGATAACATCGGAGAAACTCTACATCAGCATGATGTGTCTGTGGTCAAGTGGGGGGGGGGAGAGCAAGAAGTAGAACCTAATATGTCCCTCGACACCTGAGGTAGTAATGGAGGAAGTTAAGAAGAAGAAGAAAATCTCTTCCCTGCCATGAGTGTCCTAGATCTTATCTGTTCTGTTTTGTATTACTCTAGGTGACAGACCACTTGATGGCTGGGATTGAGGACATTATTGGTGATCATGGTCGAAACCACCTGAGGGTATGATTTTCTGGTGGATGCTATGTATTTGTTTAATGTTTAGTAAAGTTTATATCAAGGGAGAAAAAATTTATATCGTGGGAGGAAAACTGAAGGTGTGGTTAGGAAAAGTTTATTTTGTATTTAGAAAATTGTATCTTCTGCCGAAAGGAACATTAAGTATTGTTTGGAATAATGTGTGTTGTGTGGAGAGGTTAGTGCCTTGTGAGAGAGCGTGTACAGTTTGCAGGAGCAGATGGATCACCACAGTCTGGTGTGATTGATGCAGCGGGGAGGGGTTCTGGCCGAAGCTCTAGGTTCAGAGGAAAGGTAAGACAGACGTTTAATCAGAATGCTACTGGCACCATTAGTATTGGAACTCTGCACTGGCTGCTGAAGATGGGAATGCCCCGAATGCTGTGATGTTCGCTCTTGAATCAACTCAACTTAACTCAATTCAACTCATTCTGCTGTGGTTTACAGCTAGTCTGTGATATTGATTGCCATTTGGCCAAGCATGTTCAATTTCAGCAAAGCCCAAATGAATCGCTTTTTATTAAATGCTTGTTTTGAAGCAGTTGGTCTGTTCTCTCCCCCCCCCCCCTCCTCCTTCCCCCACCTCCCAATTTGTGTGTGTGGTGGGGGGGGGGGGGGGGGAAGGCCTGGAACCCACACAGGAAAAGACAACAATCTTATAATTAAAAACATACAACAAATGACATAAAGTAGTGAAAACAGGTGTTGACTGCAGTCAAGTTGATACCGTAAAGTTAATCAGCTGAACTGTGACTAAGAAGTTTAACAAAGGGGAACAGCGTACACTTAAAGAAAACTCAGATGGGGCCTTTCTCAACAAAAACCACTTATATTTATTGGCATTGCTTCTGTTATTATTTTTCCCACCTGTAACTGTTTTTATGGACATTATATACAACAAAATGAATGTTAACAGGAAAGAATAGATTATATTGATGGAAAATACCTCAAGCCACTTCTGCAGCTAGCTCCAGATCCAGGGGACACCACTCTCAAGGCTTTTTACGAGAACTTGCTTCTAAAGTAAGTCTGTAATTTACAAAATGAGAGAAAGAGAGAGAGAATGAACAAATAAGTTTTATTTTGAAAGGGTTTTAAATAAGATCAGAAAATAGTTAAGAAAGGGGTACATTGATAGAAAATACCTCAGATCACTTCTGCAACTTGCTCCAGATTCAGGGGACACCACTCTCTCCGTCTGAGAACATGCTTCTAAAATAAATTGATAGTTTGCAAAAACTCATTGTTTTGTGAATGGTTTTAACTGATTTAGTTTTATTTTGTTTAAAATCCCCCCTGTGGGTATCAGGGCCCTATTGTGGGGGGGAAAACAAGAACAGACCTGGGGTGTGGAGGGAAAACAAAAACAGACCCACTGCCTCCCTCACAGGCATGTCGTAAGAGTCGATTGATGAGTTGTTTTCTCTTAAGTTGCAGTACATCTGCTCAAGAGGCACGGAACCAACAGTCTGCATACAAAAAAGCCATATCTGTAAAACCGATGTACATGCAAAACTCAAGTTCTGGACCATTACTAAAGTCTAGAAGCAGACAAACAACCATAAGTTTTCTGCTGAGTTGACAGCCGGTTAACGAGAAGAAGAAGACAATTCTGTTTAGGAAGTCTGAAGTTTTACTTTCAGAACAAATATGGATCTTGTATGAACATAATGTTGGCACAATGCTAGAGCCAGCTAAGTGCTAAATCCTTGTTTTTTTAGAAAATCCAATTTTTAACCCTTTCTACCAGAGATACAGAAAAACTGACACTTCTGTTTGGGCCAGTTCCTTGTAAATGTCACTTTACTGATTTGCCGATTGTGACCTGTTTGCGATATGTATAATTACTGCAGTTGGCTGAGTTTGCTCCTAAGCAAATTATTTTTTAAGATGTGAGGATACAAATACATTACCTAGAATTTAGAGGTGTTTTCCTTAGGGCTAAATGGCTTTTTTTAAAGCAAAATGACATCAGATTTTCTCATAAGCCTCAGTGATAAAGGTCACAGGGTCGCGGCATGAGTCACCTGATACGAATGCCTTTTTTAGGCTTGGGGGGGGGGGGGGGGGGGGTGTATTTAATTTAATGTTAAACCCTGTACATGTTTATTGATTAATCCCTTCATATATCTTTCTATATTATGAAAAAATAAAACATTTTAAAATGTCGATAAATACATTTTGAATGAATTTATTAATGACCTACATAAAAACTTGTGGTTGTTAAGAATTTTTTTTCAGGAATTCTAATGGAGTCATGACCTTTTTTATTAGAGTTTTCCTGGCGAAAGGATTAATTTTGAGATTTCTCATAAAATTATGCATTTACATGAAAGTAACACTTTTTTTTGGACCTATTTGAAGAATGAGTTTACATCTGTGCATATAGCATATTGTAAAGTGATGATTAGCAGCCCTATGTTGTGTGTTATGTCTGTATTTAATTGAGAATAGAGACTTTGTTAGGTAATCCAGTGTATAAAGGTTAAGAGTACATGAGTTAACACTCATACCTGAGACTTTGTCTGTATAGACCAGTGCACACCAAAGACTGGGGGGGGCTGAGTGGTCTCGAGGCATGGTGTCCGCCTTGAGTGCTAGAGGTTCCGGGTTCAATCCCCAGTACAGGCAGGTTGGGATTTTTTTCACGTGGACTTGGACTTCTAGTAATCCCCCCTGGTCTCTGGGCAGTGAGATCAGACACCCGTGTGCATTGTTGCGCTCGTAAAATTTTGAGTTCAAAATCTACCCAAAGTATTTCAGAATCCTAGCCGATGCTACAGAGCCTGTGCACTGTGCTGAGCTTCTTGTGACTCAGACTTGAGTTAGAAGTAGAACGGAGCACTTGTGGGTCACTACCCGTGTGCCAAGATGTTGATCTCTTGTTCAAAACCTCTGTTCAAAAACCTCAAGTCATCAAAAAATTAATTTATCAGTATGATATTTGTATAGATGATTTATTTAGCACAGTCATTGAAGACCAAATAAACAAACTTTATTTAGTTAGCCAGTGAAATGGGACACATTGGGTTGAGGTAAGAGGACGTCCAGCAGAAACCCTAGGAATAACATTGATGAGAGAGGCCAGATGTGCTAGAGCAGATTTGGTTAATGATACCTAAAAGAACAGATTATAAACAGCATATTCATACCAACACTATGCTAACAATGCCAGATTTCAGATTTAGACATAAAGGCTAACCTATGTAAAATTAACACCTGTGAAATGAAAAACCTGAGAAAAGCGGCCAACATAACCATCCGAGACAAAGTTAGAAATGATGCTATCAGATTTTATCAGACAAATGGTTTGATCATCTAGTAAGAATGCAGCCAGAACAACCACCAAGGCAGGCACTACGCATGATTTGAAGTAAAAGCAAGAGACCGCCCTAGGAGAAGATGGATTGATGACATTAAAGAGCGTCTACATCAACATGGAATGACAATAGCCATTGCTGCCCATCAAGCAGTAGATCACAGACTGTTCCTCCCCACAAAGCCTAACAGCAGAAGTGGACATTGACCCAGGATAAGATGCAGTGGAGTGAGAGGCAAGTTGATGATGGTGGTGAATAGAGGGAATGGCACTAGAACACTGGCTAGCATGCTTGACAACCAGGTCGCTGGTCCTAAAAATAACTTGTTTATGAGCACATTCTTCTTCTTTGCGTTCACCGGCTGTAACACCGACGAAAAGTTCTAGTTGTTTGCCCATCTCTGGACTTTAGTCTTGTTTCAGAACCTGAGTACTGCGTGCACATCCGTTTCACATATGTGGTTTATTTGTATGCACACTGTTGATTTGTTGCCTCTCATGCAGATACACTCCTACTTCAGAGAAAGCTTCCAGTTAGTTCACTCTTACAACATGCTTGCTGGGAAGGCAGTGAGTCTGTTCTTGTTTTACCCACAATGGGGCCCCAGAACCCGCACGAGGAATGAGCCCATTTATCAGAGGTGTGGTTGATAAGGTTCAAAGTACATCATTGATCTTCATCTAAACCAGGGCTCTCAACCTATCTTATGCCACAACCCTTTAATACAGTTCCTTATGTTGTGTTGACCCCCAACCATACAATTATTTTCATTGCTACTTCATAACTTCAGTGAATATGTGTTTTTCTATGGTCTTAGGCGACCCCTGTGAAATAGTCGTTTGACCATCAAAGGGGTTGTGACCCACAGATTGAAAACTGCTGATCTGATCCTTTTACTTCTCTCCCCCCCCCCCCCCCATGCAGGGAACATTACAACTACCTGAAGCTGAGTGGGGCCAAGACACCAGGAGATGCCCCAGAACTGTAAGTTCCTTCTCTGTATTGTTGATTGTCTGCTGTTTTTTTTTTTTGGGGGGGGGGGGGGGGGGAATCTCACTTCATTTATGCATGCCGCTTCTTATTCTTCTCAGCATTCACCGGCTGTAAACTCGGGTGAAATGTTCTGATTGTTCTGCAACTTCTGAGCTTAGGTCTTGTTCCAGAACTTTAAATTTTGCGATATATCTTTTTTGAGAGATCTAGCTCATTTGCATGCAGAGTGTTGGTTCCTTGCCTCACAGGCTGCGGCACTTTAACTTCAAAGGAAACACCCATAATTAGTTGCCTCTTCTTATGACATGTTTATTGGGGTGGGGGGGGGGGGGGGGGGGGGGGAAGCTCTGGCAACCACTCTGGTATTTGTTCAATATATGTTTCTTAATTTTTTTTTTTAAATGGATAAATGCAAAACTGAAGGATGCTTTGCCACATGTTGAGACACATTGGATCTTTATCAGGACTTTTCTTTTCTAGAGAGAAAAAAAAATGTGCTGGTACAAACCAAAAGTGGCTAAAAGAAATGGCAGTACTAGCCAAAAAAGTGTCTATTATCACAGCAGTGCTGAATACTGCCAGAAACAAAACTGAGAGCCTTGGTAGAGTAGCAGTTACAATCCTGCCTTCTTGCCTAAAGGTCTCAAGTTCAAGTCTTTAACGAGGCGGACTTGTTTCAAAAATTGATCTTGATTGACTCATCTTGAAATGAACACCAGGTAGTGTCCTCGGTAGTAGTGGCAGCCAGAGAGATGTTGACCACGTCATCCATCGAGCGCTGATTGGTCTATAATAATTATATAATTCTAGCACTATATGCCCACTGTGCCTCTGGTGTGAAGAGGGTGAAAGTAAAGTTAAGGACCCTTTTCCACACCTTGAGGCAAATTGTGCATATAGTGCTAGACCTATATTTTGTAGACCAATCGGCACTTGGCGGATGATATGATCAACATCACGCTGGCCCCTTTTACTTCACTGTGTGGGTTTCAGGGCCCTAAAATAGGGAAAACAAGAATAGGCCCACTGCCTACCCAAAAGCATGTTGTAAGAGTCAACTAAATGGGAGCTTCCTTCAGAGTTAGAGTGCATCTGCCTGAGAAGCAAGGAACCAACAGTCTGCACATGAATGAGTCAGATCTGTCAAACAGATGCACATGCAACACCTAGGTTCTGAAACAGGACTGCACTCCAGAAGTGGACAAACAACGAGAATTTTCTGCCAGAGTTTACAGCCTGTGAATGCGAAGAATAAGAATAAGAACTTCCTGGGACTTTAACAGGTGCTCATTTTAGGCTTCGTTGACTTAGGAGCCATGGTCATTTAAAAAGTCCAGCTCCATTTGGATTTGAACCCATGACCTTCCGATTCACAAGGGCACATCTAACTGCTCCACCACAGCTTCTCTATGTGAAGGTCTTTTGTTTTATTTTACATTATAAACAAATCAGTTGATTTGAAATGGTTGGGGCATATTGAGAGAATGTCAGATGACAGAGAAGTGAAAAATGTATACACAAGGGAGATGAATGGTCGTAGACCAAGAGGCAGACCAAGAAGAAGATGGAGAGATAATGTCCGCACAGACCAGCAAACACTTGGTGTCACTAAGTGGAAAGAGAAGGCCAGCCAGAGAGATGAATGGAGGCGGGAGATATCTGCAGCATTGAACCTCAAGGGCTGGAAATGCTGAAGAAGAAAAAGAGACAAATCAGTACTTAATGGCAGTGACCAGTTTCACACTAACTGCCTTTATTCTAGAAAATGTCTTGTATTACCTGGTACCCTTTTAAGGCTGTTTTGAGACTGTAGATGAGGCCAGTTTAAAAATAAATTCACATTTTGATGGGAGGTAGAGGGTTCGAACACAGGACCAGCATCCTGGTTGTCAAGCATGCTAGCCACTGTTTTACTGTCATTCCCTCTTTCATCATCACCTTGCTGTGCCGCATATGTCACATGTCTCACAATCTATTCCGGCATTCCATTCTATCCTGAGCTTTTTTGTGTGTGGGTATCACAGGTGAAATCTGCTCTAGCACCTTTGGCCTCTCATCAGTGTTCTTCCTTGGGTTTATTTTGGACGTCCTTGTTTCATCAATCCAGTTATTTCCCATTTTACTGTGTGCTTTGTGATTTTCTGGATATACCCAGAGTGGGCTTAACATATTTTTTCCTTCTTGTTAATTTGTGAACTGTTGATATCAGCAGCTGTCCAGATACATCTCTGATTTCTTGAATACATTCCATGTATTAGCCCAAAAAAAAACAAAAAAACATCAACCATTTATTTATTACATGTTTGTGTCCAGTTGTAATTTTTGACTTCAATATTATATTGACAATATTTGAGCAGTGCATTGTTTGTAGTCATAATAACTTGACGGTTGTAGTTAATTTATGCTGAAATTCCCACACCATTTTCACAAACCAAGTCACACACACACACACATATATATGGACGTGTTGTGTGTAGGGGACACATCAGGAAGGGCATGGGAATGAAGAAAGAAATGATTGCAGAAAGAATGAAAAGAAAGAAACTAAACACAAATGTTGACAACAACAATCCCTAAATCCCATGCTGTCATCGTGGAAAACTTTTCTTAACACAGGCGGGTCTTGCTAGTCACACTCGCAGTCACCACGAACTGTGAGTCTCATGCCTCCTCCTAGCACAATATATATATGTATGTGTATGTATGTGTGTTTGTATATATAATTAGACGGTTGTGGGTTAGCGGAGGAAATGTAGCCGAGAATATGGACTAGAAAATGTAGCTAAGAATTTGAGCTAGTCACATCGACTCATAATGCTGTGATGCGTTTAAAACCTTTAGAATTTTACATATTCATCTCCACTAGAGAGGCCCATGGAAACATAGCAACTAGATGCTCACCTGTCGACCTGAAAGTCTTAGGTCCAAATCCTCACTAGTGGATTATGACAAAAATTGACTTTTCTTCCCAGGTCACGCCAGCCTGAAATGTTTACCAGGAAATATCCTAAGAAGTAAAGTCAGCCAGTATTATGTTAACCACATCAGTTATAAACTGTTTAACCACATCAGTCATAAACTGTTTAACTACCTACATCAGTCATAAACTGATTAACGACATCAGTCATAAACTGTTTAAACTTTAAACTAATGGCATGCCATTTTAGACAACAATTGATCCAACGTAAAGTGACCATTTTTATCTGGATGCTTTTTGGAAAAGGAAGGGGGGGGGGGGGGGGGGGAGAAAAAGGGGGGGGGGGGGGGGGTAGCCCTTTCAGCTGTAAAATGAGCCCTTAAAAAAAAATCAAGGACATAAGGTCTGATTCTAAGACTGTCCCCGGAAATTGGGGGTGAATGGTCACCTTAATCTGGCACCACATGGCGGATGTGTTAGAGCTGGGACAAGAATCTTTAGTTTACCCTGATTAAAACTCCATTAAACATGGTTGCACTTTTATCCCTGTGTCATTTTATAAATATCTCAGGTCAGAGAATAATGTTTTACAACATTTGAGGTTTGTACATTTTCTTGAGTTCAAGATTCACTTTCTAAGCTATCACACTTATTTTCCTTGTGTTTATAATACTTTTGGCATGAAAGTAACTAACTTTCCATGAGTTCAAGACTCACTTTCTAAATTGTCACACTTATTTTGATTGTATTTGTAATACTTTTGGCATGAAAGTAACACTTTCCTTGAGTTCAAGATTCACTTTCACTATCACACTTATTTAAATTAAATTTATAATAATTTTGGCATGAAAATAACTAACATTCCTTGAGATCAAGATTCACTTTCTAAACTATCACATTTATTTTTTTTGTATTTATAATACTTTTGGCATGAAAATAACTAATATTCCTTGAGTTCAAGATTCACTTTCTGAACTGTCACACTTATTTTCATTGTATACATTTGGCATGATGAAACTAACATTTATGCTACTGCTGGCATTCGAATAGGGACGGACTTACCTGGTGATTTACATAATATGTTTTCAAAGACAACTTGATGTTTATCTATCTCTAGCTGGCGAGGTACAAATTATGCCTGCTATGCAAAAGTTTGATCTTAATTACAGGTTGTTAGCAAACATGGTCTATTTCAGGAAGGTTATACTTTATGTGTAGAAAAGTATAGTAATTATTTGAGTATAATTCTAGATGTTGATGTCTTCATTTGTTTATGTCCTTACAAGCACACCCTGACTGATAATCTGCATCTTTGGCCCAGCATATTCAGTTTTAACAGATTCTAAATTAGTTGTCTTTTATGACATGTTTATGACGGCATCTGTGACTTAGGTGATGCGAATTAGCTTGATCCCAGCTGCTGGTGGTTTGTTTTGTGTTGGTTTTGACAATTGTACTGAGAGCTGACGGTTCAGTAAGCAGTGGCAAACTACTGGACCTAAAATGAGCCTAGAAAAACCTCAACAGCCCCCAAAAAAATGCTGCGGTTGGTTCTGCACCGTCCTTAAAGGATATGCAACTAACTGTTATGAAGAGGCAGTAGGTCTGTTTCCCTCTCACATCGGGGCCCTGGAAACCAACCACATAGGGAGAATAGAAGTGAACATAGATTAGTGTAGTTGTAGATTTTGATATATTTGTGTCAGTGGGTCCTAGAGGAGAAGCAAGTAATAGCAACGCTGTAACACATAATAAGTCTCATACTTGTATTCATCATCTTCTTTGTTCACCAACTGTAAGCTCTGGTGGAATGTCTTTGTTGCTTGTCTGTTTTGACTTTAGCTTTGTGCCTGGACCTGAATTTTGCATGTACACCCGTTTTACTGGCTTAGTTTTGTGCAGTTGGTTGTTCCTTGCCACTCGGGCAGATGCACTCCGACTTCATATGAAGTCCCCAGTTAGTCGACTCCTACGACTTGCTTGTTGGGGAGGCAGTGGGTCTGTTCTTGTTTTTCCCACAATGGGCCATAGAACCCACACATGGAGACTTTTATTCATTCGTCTCTTGATCATTTCACTTGGATTACTGTCTTATTCATTTTCTTCAACATTTGGGTCATTGTGGTCTTCATCACTTGTGATGGACGAACAACAAAAGGATACACAGCAAGCTTATAACTTTATCGTAGCCAAGCTGTAAACCACAAGACAGCTCTCTGAAACGTTATACACTAAGAAACTAGAGGAAGAGCAGAAGAAGCAGAAGAAATGTGAAATCTTAATCAGTTTTTATAAATATTCAGGGGGTCAGACCCCTAGACCACTGAGACGAAATGTGATGTAATAAAAGTATAGGACCCTTTTCCATGCCTTTAGGTGTATTGGGCATATAGGGCTAGAACTATATTTTATAGACCAAATGGCACTTGGTAGGTGATGCGGTCAGCATCACACCAGCCGCCCTTACTTCCCAGGACTGTACCTGGTACCCACTCAAGGCTGGGTCGACCTGGGAGAAAGGTCATTTAAAAAAAACAAAGTTAGGACCCGAACCCATGACCTTCCGCAGGCGAGCGTCTAGCCGCTAGACTACGGCGGCTCCTAGACGTGATGTAATAATGAAATTATATTATGTCAAGGTGAATTAACAAGTTTTATGTCACATTTCCCCCCCACCCCAGGTAATCTTTGACACATTTAAAAAAAAAAGTTAATATAATCATACCCACAGTGTCTACACACTATGCAATTGCAGCCATTACCAGAAGCTGTCGTACAAGCTTACTGTCCAAAGACATCATGCCAACCAAAATCCATTGAAGGCTGCATGGTCTCAAGGCATGGTGTCTGCCTTGCCTGCTAGAAGTCCCAGGTTTAAGCCCCAGGTGAAGGCTGAGATGTTTTTCATGCGCATTTAAAGTAATTTCCCCCTGGTCTCTGCGTAGTAAGGCCGGACGCCTGTGTGTTTTGTTGGGCACGTTAAAAAAATCCTTGGCAGTTGAAAATCGAAAAGAGTAGCCAAATGGTGCTGCCCAGGCTAAATTTGTAGTTAAAAATCTACCCAAAGTATTTCAGGATCCTAGTAAGAAGAAGAACGGAGCACTTATGGGTTACACTTGTGTGCCATGATGTTGATCCGTTGAAAAAAACATAAACATAAAGAAAGATTGAGAGCTTTAAGCACACCGAGATTTTAAAACTTCTGTCTTCAGAAGATGAAAAATATCTGGTGCTTTGTTATTCAGGACATTTCTATTACCTTTAGGGTTTTCCTAGAAATTCGCTGCTATTGTTCTTTTTGTTTTACAGAGTATATAATGTACCCAACAACATTTCATTGATTGAACCTTTATTTCAGATAGTGATAGATTCTTTCCCTCAAGGTTTTTGAAGAAATATGAGTAATACGTGGCTATAGATTTATGAGCATAGTTTCATAGTTCTGACATACAATGTTCAGTTCAGCTGCAGGTAATTAAACAGAAAAACAGCTTTGTATTGATTGCAACAATGCCAAGGAGCATTCGTTATTTAGAAAGCACCGGCTTACTTTGATTTGTTGTCTGCCCAGTTCATGAGATCTCTCCATTTTCTACAGGCTTATTTAGTGCTCATAGAAAATGAAGAGATCTCACGAACCGGGCAGACAACAAATCAAATGGTTTGGCCATGTAACAAGATTGGCAGCACACAGGGCACCACAGAGAGCAATGTTATTCAGATACAGTGGTAACAGACCCAGAGGTCAACCACGCAGAAGATGCACTGCAGAAACATCAGAGACATTGAAAAATACTATATACGAAGAGAACAGAAGGGCCAGTTCTAGAGATCTCTTCCTCCCCTGACGCCGCGAGGCTTTCCAGGAGTAGAGAAAAGAAGAAGAAAAAGCGGCTAACTTTTGAATATTAAATTGCCAAATAAATTCACAGACAATCTGCTGGGGTTGGTTTAGGATGCCCTGTAAATGAAATGAAGTTATATATTTAAACATTTAAATAAAAGAATAGAAATATATTACATCCACATTTCTTAACAGATTAGTCAACTGTTGTCATAATGGATTTTATAAAATGAAAAACATCTTGTGCAATATATCCTTGTCATTGAGAGTTAGAAAAAGAATTCTTGCTTGCTACATACATCCAGTTTTAACATATGGATGTGAATCCTGGACAATCGGTAGGCAGGCCAAACAATTTTTAGAGGCCTCAGAGATGTGGTTTTACAGAAGAATGCTTAGAATACCTTGGACAGCCAAAAAGAGCAACCAAGAGGTTTTGAAAGAGGCGGGAGACCGAAGACAACTTATCACTGACATCAGAGGGAGACAGTCATCATTTTTCGGCCATGTTATGAGAAGAGGGAAAATAGAACATGTTGTGACCACTGGAAAGATCTGTGGAAGGAGGGACAGAGGAAGACAACGAGAGAAGATGCTTGACAGTCTTGTTGCATGGCATGGAGGTGTGTCGGCACACGAACTGATACATGCTGCAGGAGATCGCGGATTATGGAGAGGCATGATCGCCCACGCCAGTCGGCAGGGCACCTGATGATGATGATGATGATGTCATAATGGATTATTAATGATAGAGATACATAAAAGGCATGCCCATGTTCTTTTTTGTTTTGTTTTTAAATTTTTTTAGAGAGTATACTTGCATGTTTCAGTTTTGTCATTAGTTTTTTTTAAATTATATAGTAAAGCCGCTTTAATACAGCTAAATTTGGATGCACATTTTTAAGATGTCTTTGTCCATGAAGAGTGTGAAGGTTTGTTATAAGGTCACTTTAAATTTACAGTCAAACCTTGTTAACCCAAACTCGCTTGAGAAGAAACTTGGTTAACATGAAAAAAAAAATATTGGTTCCTGCATGAGTGTATTAATTTGAGTTCCCGGTTAGCACACATTTTTTTCAAAACACAAACTCTTAATTTGTCGGTCTCTTGGAATTTGTGTTAACAAAGTTTGACTGTCAGTTAATGAGATACTACTGGCCACCTGATGCCAAGAAATTAAGCAGATGCTTGAATGTTTTTGACAGAGACAGAAAGACAAAAACACAGAGAGAAGTAAAAAAAAAAACACTTTACAAGCTGTTGTAACAAATTCAGTAAAGAATTGACTGTGTATAAGGGAGAAGGGGGAGAGAGGAGACAGACAGACAGACAAACACACATGTAATTGCAGCATACATTTACTAATGTGAAGCTTTGGGAGGGAACTAAGCAAATTCCACTGAATCAATGGTAACAAAAAGACACTGTAGCTTGATAAGGCACGCAGCGAAAAACAATCTGGGAACAGTACAACTAAAAGGGCTTTATACTGGAACCTACATGGGAGTAGAACTAAAGGCAAAAAAACCTAGAGAAGGGAATTAGAGAGTGAGGTTAAACATTGAAGCACATGGTGCTGAGGTGCATCTGATAGCAAATGACAGGACAACTTGGGGTGAGTTGGTTGAGGGCCTGTGCTCCACTGGGAGCTAAAGGGCAGAAAAGAAGAAGATGAAAAACTATACAGGAAATTAGACAGTGGCACAAGACAGGCATCTGTGGAGTGGAATGATTAGGAAACTTTATGACCAGTACAGGGCCTGACAAAATGATGATGATGATGTGCCACTGGGACATACAGTCACTGTTGTTATTGTATCTATTCTAGAATGTAGTTTTGGAGTCTCGGAGCTAAGTGGTCAAGTCATTTCCCCCTTTTTCAAGTGGCGCCTACTTGAGTATATGGCAAGGGCGCCCCTCCAACCCCCCCCCCCCCACCCCCCAATCCTTTTGAGTGTCAGATAACAGAAGAAACAATCACCAACAACTGGTAATTTAATGTCAAAATATCAATGTGATGGTTGGTTTCTTTGGTCTGATGTTGGACAAGGCATAGGGAAGATCACTATCCACATCAAACTGGCGGCATGGTTTGGTTTTCATGATTGTTAAAGTTGAAAATCTGGCTTACTACAAGTACATATTAACTAAATTTCAAAACTGTTTGATGCCCCCCTCCCTGCAGCCCCCACCAGGTTGAAAATCACTGATCTAAAGGTATAAGCTGTATTACTCCACTGCTGTTTTTCTATCCGCTCTTGGAGACATAGTTAATTTCTATCTGTATAACTTCACTGCTTTTACTGTTTCTGTTCTAGGAGAGACATTTAATAGTAGCTATTTAACTTCATTTTGTTTGTTTGTTGTTGGATCTGTTTTATGAGACAGTTAACTAGTGGATGTTTAACTTCACATTTGTTATTGTATCTGCTCTAGGAGACACATTTTATCTAACAGCTGACTAATGTCACCATTGTTACTTTGTCTATGTATGTGTAACTTCACCATTGTTATTTTATCTGTTTATGTGTGTGTAACTTTGTTGTTATTTTATCTGTTTTTATGTTAGGTACTTTACTATTGTAATTGAATATTCTGGAATACATTAGTAGTCAGTCACTGGCCAATGGATGACAGTGTTTTTGTTTTGACTACTCCAGTAGTTTTGATTGTTGCAAGTGACAACTGATTCCAGATATGTTTGTCTAAAGTCAATTCTGAATGTTTCTGTTCTAGGAGACTGTGTTTACTTGCAGCTTGCCTCTTGTTAACAATTTTCCCAGTTTCAGCTATTCTACCCAACTAATGATTATTTTCTGTTTTTTTCACTGTTTCAGGCCTCGGATGAATACTGAAGGGTTCTTGTCCGGCTTGGCAAGTGGAGTCACCAGCGTCAAACTGCAGCCCGACAAAGACGTCACAGATGCAGAGCCACCCTCGCCTGATGTCAAGGACAGTCCAGCAATACCTGCCATTACCATTGAAATGGATTTAGAAGGTGCTAGATATTTCCGGATTTGTTCAGGGTTTCACTTCATTGTCATGTCCTTTATTATAAGTATCATGAAGAACCTGTGGCTCCGCACCTGCAAGCAGGTTAAAGTAAATAATTTTTCGGGACCCAACATCTTTCCCATGACTGAAGATGGGGACAGAGCGCTTATGAGGGTGTCTCGAGTGCTGTGATGCCGATTCTTAATTCAACATTAACCATCTTTCCCATGGCAACTTATGGTTGTGATGGGCTTTTGCTCAGTCTTTAATGAATAATCTGAGCTCCTGAACTGAAATGCTGCAGAAACATTCTTAAAATACATTGAACTAAGATGAAGAAAAAAACATCAGCATCCTACATGGTTTGAACATTCAGGAGAATTGGCTCATAAACAGCATCCTTCCCCCCCCCCCCCTTCCCTAAAAAAAAAAACAGGTATTTTGGCCATCTTAAACATCATGGTGGCCTGGATAGAATGGTAATGGAAGGTGCAGTTTCTGAAAAACAAGGCAGAGGCTAACCTACGTGAAGGTGGATGCAAGTCATTGAAGATGCATTGGATAAGAAAGCACATAGGGCTTGAGAATCGGCTAGAGAAAGAGGGACTTTCAGGCGTGCTGTAAAGAGAGCGACGTCTAGAGAAAGGACCTGCCTATTGATGAATGATTATCATATGTGACCAGTTACACTATAGTTACTCACTAGCTACACATCAGTGAATGTGGAAACATCATATAGTCACCAAGCACACATAAGCTACTGCCTAAAAAAATCGTATAATCAGCAGACGCACATATCATTCAGTGCTGAAATATCTTACAATCACCAGTAACACATAGACTCTTATCTAAAACAGTATACGGTTACTCTTTCACACATCATTCACCACTAAAATATTTAAGCGTCTTTGATTTATGGGAAAGTTTTTATCAAAGTCCTAATTAATAGTGCTTGGGATGTGTCTTTTTGTCCTCTTTTTAATCACACTTTTTTGTTTAAAGTTGCAGATGGGAATTGGTATTGAGATGCCAGGCTATATTGGGGAAAAGCTAGGGGTGCCTGAACCTTAATACAAATAGCCCATCGCAGACGCAGTGTTTCCTTATTTTGAAACCCCACCCTGGCTGTGGTCAGGTGCCCTAATTATAACCCTACGGTTTGAACAGGGTTCTGGAATCTGTCCCCAGATGATACTCATCCGAATGGTGGCACTTTGTGTCACTGGGTGTTAATCGTTTAGTCTGATGTCCTGATGGGGTAAAATGTCAGTCAGTCAGGAGCCATAAAAATGTTGAAAACCACTGCTTGTACCGTAGAATCAGAAGTTCGATGGGGACTGTTTGGTCTCGAGGCATGGTGTCCACCTTAAGTGCTAGAGGTTCCCTCGTCTCTGGGTAGTTGGATCGGCTGCCCATGTGCATTGTTGCGCACGTAAAAAATCCCTTGGCAGTTGGAAATCAAAAAGAGTAGCCTAACGGCGCTGCCCGGGCAAAATTTTGAGTTAAAAATCTACACAAAGTATTTCAGGATCCTCGCCGGTGCTACAGAGCCTATGCACTGTGCTGAGCTTCTTTGGACTGTGATGAATTAAACAAAGAACGGAGCACTTATGGGGTACACCCATATGCCATGATGTTGATCAATTGTTCAAAACCTGAAAACTTCAAACCCCAGAAGTTCAAAATGATTCATGACAATTCCTGCTTATGTGATGTGATTATCTGTACTGATGGCTCTGTCTTGAGTGGCAGAAGAAGTGCACGGAGGTTCATAGTTCCTGGTACCATCGTAAATTGGACAATTGAGCTGTCTGGAGAAGATGGAAGACAGAGAACATATGGGAATGTTCCAAGTGTTGTAATGTTCACTCTTAACTCTACCAGACCTGAGGCCCTGAACCTAACTGCCCCCTATACCTGAGCTCATGGGCATTAACACGAAAAAACCAACATGTTATACAAAAATATTAGTTACATGCAAACAAGGGGCTAGAATAAGATAAAACTTAGAGACATAGAAAATAGGTTTACCTTTCATCTAGCACCAATAATCCACCTTTGTGTGCCAATCCATCCAGCAGGATTAGCCTTGTTTCACAAAGTGAGTACTAGATGTTGCTGTTTAAGGGACAGGCCCCCTTCTTTTACTATCGGTCTAGTTTTAAATCTTTAATTTTCAAGATTCTCCTCATCATTCGAGCTGTCACTGACTGCGTCACTTTAACTGGGAAGGTATTCTTTATGAAATTCTGACTCCTTAGAGTCTGAATCAAACAAACTATCGATCACCTGTTGGACTGTGAAAAACCTAGACCTACTTCACTTTCCTGTCGATGTGCTTGGTTTATCAGACACCTTGTTCATTGTGAATTTTCTGAATTTTTTCACGTTAAACTACATGAAGTAAATCCAAACAAACATGGGCAGACATCCTGAATGACTATCCACGAAATCTGACCATGATTGGCTAGTTATTTTTAGTTTGTGACACATTGTTTTCACGTTAGTACGCAAAGTACCCACAGTGAGGTACAGCGATTTAGCGGCAGATTAGGAAATTACCACAGAAGCGGTACATCGGTCTGGTAGAGCTAACTCTGCTCAACTCATTTTACATTGGATCAAGGGTATCTGCCGTTAGGTTGGTAAAGTGAAACAACAAAAATGGATGCCTACTGAAACTGTTTGTTTCTTGCAGGCACTTTTCTCAATCAGGGTCGCCATAGGAACCGTAGTTACTCTGTGGGAACTGACATAGATGCAAAAGGTCTTCGGAGCTTGTTACTGTCACAGAAAAATAGCAGAATGGTGAGTGGTTTTTTGATCATCTTTCTTATGAAATGAACAGTGTGGAGACACAAGTAGATCATTATGGTCTGAGGAGAATGGTGCTGTCCGACGTCTAACACTCAATGAAATGGCAAGACGGATTATACAAACATTTACTGGTGACATCGGAATTGGAACTCTTTGCTTGATGCTGAAGATGGGCACAGAGCGCTCATGGGAGTGTCCCGAGTGCTTGCTGTGATGTTGAGTATTAATTCATCATTCAGCATTCAACATATCTTCTGCCTCATTTCCTTTTTCATTCACTTGTCAAGCAAGATGCAGACTTCTTATTCTCACTCTTCAGTGATAAGCACTTGAGATTGTTGCAGAGATACAGTGATGTTACTTGTTGTCTGACTTATTTTTTGGGGGGCTACCTCGGACTTCTCTTCATTTTGTGAGTTCTGGACTTCTGTATGTCCTTTGCAGAATGTCGCTGTCATCACCGTCTGCTTGAAAGAAACTCAGTCTCCTGCCAGCTCTTCTGTTTCGTGTACTTTCATATTCAAAGAGTCACTGATATCCTGTGCCCATCTTCCTGTTGGTCAGCCCCTTCCGCTCCTTCTTGGTATCATGCCCTCTGCTATTGTTTTTATCATTCTTTGTCTTCTCCTCACAAATCACATTTGTTCTTATTCATGGCACTTGATATGACCAAAATATTTCAGCTTCTGAGACGAGATGCTGTTCTTTAGTAAATCTTCTTTAATGTTCAGATCTTTTAAAATGTCAGTATTTCTTCTCTTTTTTTGTTGTTGTTGTCCATGATATTTTGAGAATCTTTCTATAGTATATCAGCTCAGTAGTATTTCAGCTCAAAGACCCCCTGTTTTCTTTCTTAAGGACTGGAAGATAGACCATGACTCACATCCATATGTTGCTTCAGGGAAGATGCATGCTCTCAAAATTTTAATGTTGTTGATTTTGCCTACTCATTGCACAATGTTAATACTGTCATCTGGAAACACCGAAAGTTGCCGTGTCACAGATGCCTACCTGGAAACCTGAAGGGTCCAGATTTTGAATCAACATTTTGACAAATTTCAATAATCTGGTGGAAGGCTCTCAGGTTGACCTAGTAAAAAATTGCCTCTATGGGCTCCTACACCCCATTGTGTGGAAAACAAGAATAGACCCACTAACCACCCAAAAGCATGTTGTAAGAGCTGACTTATTGGGAGCTTCCTTCTAAATTTGAATGCATCTGCCTGAGAGGCAAGGAACCATCTGTCTGCACACAAATGAGCCAGATCTGTTGAGCAGATGCAAATGCAACACTCAGGTTCTAGAACAGGACTAGAGTCCAGAAATGGATGAACAGCCCGAATTTTCCTCTGAAGTTTACAGCCATTGAACACAAAGAAGAAGAAGATGAAGAAGAAGAAGAAGAAGAGGCAGAAGACCCAGTGTAAAAATTGGACCAAGAAATGTCCTGCTTAGTAAAGGTGACCAGGGTCATGTTGCCTTAAAGTTCCACTTTCACAGTCTGGGCCTGGGACCCCAATATGGAGGAATAAAATAGTCTCACTGGTCCCTGAACAAGCATGTCGTCGTAACAGTCAACTAATTAGGGGTGTTTCAAAGTCAGAGTGCAGCTGCATGTGGCGAAGAAGCAACAGTTTGTGTACAGATAAACCACGTTTGTAAAAACGGATGTGCATGCAAAATTCAATTTCTGGAATAAGACTAAAGTCCGGACATGGATGAACAATCAGAACTTTCTGCTGGAGATTACAGCCTGTGAATGCGAAGAAGAAGAGTTCCAACTAGTCTGTAAACAAATATGGTTCTGGAATCAAATGCCCAGTGCGACAAAGGAGTGAAAATATGCCTTTACTGTACTTGCAATTGTTGCTGGAGCTAAGGAGATCCTGCTTGGTGCAGTGCTGTAGGAAGTGGGTAACCACTATACAGAGAGAGAGAGAGAGAGAGAGAGAGAGACTGTCAAGAAAGATAATATAAGCTGGTGCAGTGAAGAGTAAGAGTAGGACTCCTGTGCAACCACTGGTACTGGAACAGTCAGCATCTGTGATATAACATGTGCAGTTTGCAGGAATTTTTTTTCCTTAAAAAGGTGTCTAAGAAGGTGCCTGTACCCATCATGACAAGATGTCTCTTACATTAGCACTGAAAAAAAAAAGGGGTGCCAGTACTGCATACTGTTGCTCACCTTAAAAAAAAAAAGGTTGACTGAGTGAGACAGTATGCATGGGTGTGCTCAGTATGCTATACTGATTATTAAACCGATGATCAGTTATTCGATCCGATTTTGAGCAACAACAAAAATCGTCATGTTCAACTAGTATCCCCCAACAGGGAACTTTTGGTTATTATTGAGACTAGGTTATGTGCACAATTTAAAATAGCTTAACATTCCTCACCACCAAGAAGCCCTGAAATAGACTCTGCAGAGATGACGCGATCGTAGGAGACAGACCCAAATACTGTCCCAACCGAGGACAAGGCCATGTACTGGCCAGCTAATGGGCGACCCGGTTGATAATAATGATCAGTTAATCTCATTAACATTTATATAACTAACAGAAAACCAAAAAAACCTTCTTTGGCTGTTTGATTTCAGGCCCTGTCCAAGTATGACAGAAATTTGACAGAAACTGACAATATACAAACAGAAATCCGCAAGAAGACAACAAAGAACAGGCGTCTTGAGCGTCTTTTCAGCCAGGATGCCTTAGCTACACCCAATGACAGGAGGAAGTCATGGGGCGGTGCTGATACCACTATCGGTGTGGAACGTGGACAGGCACGTAGAGCTCCTTTTAGGCATGCATTGACCCTTGATCTTGGCAGCACTGGCCATCTTGATTCTGGGGATCCTTCTTCTGCCATGGAATTCTCTCATCCATCAAGTCCTCCACTAGATTCCTTATTTGAGGAAGATGAGGAGGCTGAATCCAAACCCATGATGGGCCCAGAGGGGAACAAGTTGTCCAGAGGTTCGGTGAAATCGAGTAAATACAAGCTGGAAAGACAAATGGGTCTAGATAAAACTGGGGCGACAGATGGACAGAGTGCCTTATCTCAGGAAGAGAAGGTGAATGTGCAGACTATCCCTTTAGTGAAGTCAGAGAAACCTGGAAAGAAGAGTAGTGCTAAAATACCTAGCAGTAAAGAAACAGATGTGTAATTTTTACAGTGTGCAATTTACCTCCGCTTGTCTTATTTCAAATTGTAATTGTGTGGTTACACTTTTGTAAGCATTGCAACATTTTAATATAGTAACTAAAAATACGTGAAAACCTGAAAAGTTGCTGAATGTCAGAAGTTGCTAGATGTGGCAAGATGCTGGATGTTAGAGGTTGCTGGGTGTGTGTGTAGTTGCTGGGTGTGTGTGAAGTTGCTGGATGTGTGGGAGGTTGCTGAATGTGGAAGGTTGCTGGATGTGGGAGGTTGCTGGGTGTGTGTGAAGTTGCTTAATGTGTGGGAGGTTGCTGGATGTGGGAGGTTGCTAGGTGTGTGTGAAGTTGCTGGATGTGGGAGGTTGCTGGGTGTGTGTGAAGTTGCTTAATGTCTGTGAGGTTGCTGGATGTGGAAGGTTGCTGGGTGTGTGTGAAGTTGCTGGATGTGTGGGAGTTTGCTGGGTGTGTAGGAAGTTGCTGGATGTGTGGGAGTTTGCTGGATGTGGGAGGTTGCTGAGTGTGTGGGAGGTTGCTAGATGTGGGAGGTTGCTGGGTGTGTGGGAGGTTGCTAGATGTGGGAGGTTGCTGGGTGTTGGAGGTTGCTGAGTGTTGGAGGTTGCTGGATGTGTGGGAGGTTGCTGGGTGTTTGGAAGGTTGATGGATGTGGGAAGTTGCTGGATGTTGGAGGTTGATGGGTGTGTGTGAAGTTGCTTAATGTGTGGGAGGTTGCTGGATGTGGGAGGTTGCTGTGTGTGTGTGTGTGTGTGAAGTTGCTTAATGTGTGGGAGGTTGCTGGATGTGGGAGGTTGCTGGGTGTGTGTGAAGTTGCTGGATGTGTGAGAGGTTGCTGGATGTATTGGAAGTTGCTGGATTTTCGAGGTTTCTGGATGTGTGAGAAATTGCTGTATTTTGGAAGTTGCTGGATATATCAGAAGTTGCTGTATGTTGGAGGTTGCTGGTTGTATGAGAAGATACTGGATGTCTGGGAAGTTGCTGGATGTTGGAAACTCATTAATAAAAGAACATAAAAAGAAAGGGTAAATGTACTTTAAATATACCATATGCTTTCTCAGTGAGTTTTATTAAAATAGTGTCAAAGCATATCCCAAACAAAAATATACCAGAAAGGATCACAAGAGTGGCAAAAACAGGACTAGTCCAATCAAAGAGAGATGCAAAACCCAGCAGGCTTGTGGAATGACTGCACATTAGCCCATGTAGAGAGAAAAATAGCCCTACAAAGGTATAGGCACTTCAGAACAAAAGGCAACTTTTATCTCTATAAAGCATCAAGAAACAACGCCAACAGAGCAGTTAAGAAAGCGAAAGAAGTCAGCTGGAGGTCATTCTTTCAGAGCCTAATGCCAAGTACCCCAGCAAGTGAAATCTGGAGTCAAATAAAAGCCATCCAGTCAGTGTAAGCAAATACCAACCATCAAATTCCCAGATAATGCAATCTCCAACCAATAACAAGCTGACACCTTTGGAAAATATTTCCATCATATAAGCTCTCATAAAAGATTAGGTATCCAAGGACAAGACAGAAGGAGACAAATCCTAGAAGTGATAGAACTACCACCCAATATCAGAAAAGAGCCGTACTACATGGACCAAGAGTTCACTATAGACGAAGTCATCTCTGCTGTTAAAGATATCCTGAATTATGCGATTCTTAAAATGCTGCCATAAAAAACCTCGGCAGTCTTCACAGAACTATTCAGCCTAGTGTGGCGAGGAGGCAAAATTCCCAAACAGTGGAAGCCAGTGACAATCGTACCCATCCTCAAACTTGACAAGAACCTCCAGAGAGTCGACTCGTACCAGTCAATCTCGCTTACCTCCCACCTGGGGAAAATTATGGAGACGATAGTGAATATTAGAATAACTATGCACATGGAGGAAAAAACAGATTGCTTAGCATCTCAGAGTCGGGCTTCAGAGCTGAAAGGTCGACAGTGGACCAGATTATAAAACTGGAAGACCACACAAAAAGAGGGTTTGGGCACAAGAAGAAAACTATCGCTGTCTACCTTTATCTGGCACAAGCCTAGGACCAGTGTTGGAGGGAGGCAGCGATTGTTAAACTAAGCAAAGTGGGAATAACAAGCCGAACTCTCCAGAGAGAGACAGGACATTCTAAGTTGTGTTGAGAAATTAGAAATCCAGGTCTCACATACAGAACAGCACCCCTCAGGGCTTGGTTATTTCCCCTGTCATATTAAATATCCTAAACGATATGAGCAACGAGATTACGGACCCTGAGGTGGAAATATCCCAGTTTGCAGACAACTGTGCTCCGTGGTTCAGCAACACGGCAATAAATACCAAACAGTCTGCATTGAGTATCTGTAACCATGAATTAACAGTAGATCAAAGAGCTCATTCATAAAAAAGTAACAATATTTAGTGTGGATGTACAAGTGACTGTCTTATTGAGAATCGGTAACTACAGAGACTCACTCTAGATCAATGGTCTCAACTGAGTTTATTTGTTCTTGTAATAATTTTGGATTTGGAGTTTTAACAGCCATGAAAACAAAACAGCGCTGCTAGCTTGATGTGCATAGTGATATCCTTTGTGCCTTGTCCAACATCTGACCAAAAATAGCAGATATCATCTAGGTGAAACAGTGTCAACTATCACATTTCTTCTTCTTTTGCGTTCACCGCTGTAAACTCCGGTGGAAAGTTCTGGTTGTTCATCCACTTCTGGAATGCAGCCCTGTTCCAGAACCTGAGTGTTGTGTGTGCATCCGTTTTACAGATTTGACTCATTTATATACAGACTGTTGGTTCCTTGCCTCTCAGGCAGATGCATTCCGACTTCGAAGGAAGTTCCCAATTAGTCGGCTCTTACGACATGCTTTTGGGTAGGTAGTGGGTCTTTTCTTGTTTTCCTATAATAGGGCCGCGGAACCCACACGGGGAACTATCACATTGATCTTTGGTCACTAAATTATTCATTTTCGGTGATTGTTGTCTTTATTATTTGACACTTTGAATTGTATGTGTGTTTTTCTCCAAGTTCTTGTTAACAGTACTTGGAATTTGTTTTCTCTTTGTCCTTCTGTTTTAATCACATTTTGTTATGTTGGGTGGTGGGGGAGGGGGAGCGAACCTGAAAAATGTTGAAGACTGCTGCTGTAGATGAAACATCAGATATACCTTTGAATACACTAACAGTAGACATAATAACATTTAACAGTATATGGACTTTTTTAAATTTAAAATTGGTGGCAGATAAGTTTATGTTTGTTCGATGAATGACCATCATGGCACACAGGTGTAACCCATAAGTGCTCCATTCTACTTCTAACTCAAGCCTGAGTTTGAAGAATCTCAGAACAGTGAGAACCGGCAAGGTTCATGGAACACTTTGGGTAGATTTTTCATTTACAAATTTTTGCCCAGGCAGTGCCGTTAGGCTACTCTTATGTACGTACATACATACGTACATACTTATGTATGTATGTATGTATGAATGTATGTATGTATGTGTGTGTACATGTGTGTGTGTGTGTACACATGTTTATGTGTATGTATGTGTGTATTGGGTGCCTATATGTGTGTGTGTGTGTGTAAGTGAATGGGTTTGCGTGTGTATGTGGGTGTGTGCATTTGCATATATTTTACCACCCATGCTTTTGTTTTTGACTTGATATTCATAATATGCATATTATTACATGAACATAACATGCTTTATTGATGAAATACAACTGCTGTTTGAAAGATGGGAGTTTGGAAGGGCCGAATGTAAGACAGGCCTGCCTGCCTAATTTGTGACCCTTTGAAAATAAAGTTTGTTCGTTCGTTCGATTTCCAACTGCCAAGGGATTTTCTTACGTGTGCAAGAATACATACAGGCGTGCGATCTTACTACCCAGAGACCAGGGGAAATTACTAGAAGTCCATGTGAAAAAAATCTCAGCCTTCACCGGGTATTGAACCTGGGACCTCTAGCACTTAAGGCTGACACCATACTTCATGACCACTCAGCCCTCCCCAGCAGCAGTTAGACGCAGTGAAGTTGAAATATCAGTTCAATAATTCAATAACTTAAATAATATTAACTGTGTAGATATACCATACATGTAAAGATTCATAGAATTTCACAAATAGTATAAATATGTGGCCGATGATCTAAATGTCTTTACAGGCATCTTGTAAGAGTCGACTAATTGGGGGTTTCCATTAAAGTCGGAGTCCATCTGCCAGATAGGCAAGGAACCAAATGTCTGCATACAAATATGCCAGATCTGTAAAATGGATTCTGGAACCAGACTAAAGTCCAGAGGTGGACGAACAACCAGAACTTTCTGCCGGAGTTTACAGCCGGTGAATGCAAAGAAGAGGATGGATGGATGGATGGATTGAGTGATTGATTTTTCCTAACTTTTTAAAATTTTTATTGCAACAATGTAAACATGTTTTTAGACATATCATAAAATTCAAATTGTTGTTTTGAAGAGAAATGCACATTTGATTACATAAATTCTCTATATCTTCTGTTTTATATTTAAAAAATTATGCAATTTACACATTTATGATTGATTTATATTAATTGTTTTCTGTGGAGTATATTATTATCTCAGGTTAAAGTATTTGTGCATTTATTTATTACCTTTTGGGGAGCTGACTGTTAGATGTTTACTTTCTTGTCACTTTACATGTATTCATTGGTTATGTTTTATGATTTTTTTGATCCTCATATATGTTTTAGGATTTATTATATGTTATATGTGTTATATAGGAGTCGCTGTGGGGTAGCGGATAGATGCTCGCGTGCAGATCAGAAGGTCGTGGGTTCGTTCCCTAGCGAGGC